TATCAAGCGATAAATCAAATGGTCTCCCGAAAATGCATCCACCATATGGTAAAATGAAGACTGGTTGCAGGAAAAACATACAAAAATCGCAGAGTTGTGCTGTAATCTGAAAAAGAAAAGACTTCGATCGACTGATCACTGATTGACAGTTCACCAAGATTCACTTGTAAATTTTTATCGAAAGCTTTAGGAGACCCAGGGAAAGTTTACAAGTTTTGACTTGGTTAATTTATCGTCAACTCGCAAACTGACGAAGCCCAAAGCCTCACAAATTCAGTAAAAGTCAATAAAATTTAGAATAGCTTCAGCATTTTGGATACAAAACAATCTACTGTTAGGTTGGCAACTAAATAATGGCCCTCGCCCTTTTTTGATAAAATCTTTTAATCTTTGCGTTTAATCTACCCTCGCTTGTTGTTAATTGAGTATTACTGAATTGCTGGTGCATTATTATACGTTTTTTACTTTCCTTGATTTGATACTTTTCAAATAATTTTGTTTAGAAATGGAAGATCTCAAATATCGAATGCGTGTCTGTCTCTGGTACGACTACAAACAAGACAAAACAGCTGCCGAATCCCACAGAGATTTATTGCGAGTTTTTGGTGATGAAGCTCTTTCCGAAACACAATGTAAGAGATGGTATCGACGGTTCAAGGAAGGGGATGAAAGTCTTGAAGATGAGCCTCGCCAAGGACGACCCGAACTTCTGCAGAACGATATTTTGGAAGCAGCTTTAAAGGAGGATCCAAGTCAAACATCACGCGAGCTAGGGGATCGATTGGGCTTTTCGCATACTGCAATCGAAAATCGACTTCATGCATTGGGGAAAAGTAACCGCAGTGGAAAGTGGATTCCGCATGAATTGAGCGAAGAAAATAAGGCTACTCGTGTTATCACAGCTGGAATACTACTAAAACTTGCGAAAAAGGGAAGCTTCTTGGATTCCATTGTCACTTCTGATGAAAAATGGATCTTTTATGATAATCGAACGCGAAAACGACAGTGGCTTAGCACAAACGAAGACCCAAAACCAACTCCGAAGCCGGATGTTCACTCAAAGAAAACTCTCCTCTGTGTGTGGTGGAGTTCTCGTGGGTTGGTGCATTTCGAGGTTCTCAAAAGCCGGCAAACGGTTAATTCAGAACTCTATTCGTCTCAACTACATCGTGTAGATCAAGCAATTCGCTCTCAAGGACTCGAACCCTCTTCAATTCATTTTCTCCATGATAACGCAAAACCACACACTGCAAAACTTACAATGGAGAAAATCGAGGAGTTGGGCTGGAATGTTCTTCCTCATGCGCCATACAGCCCGGATATGGGGCCTAGTGATTACCATCTTTTTCGATCGATGCAACACTTTCTAGCCGAGAAAAAGTTCAATGACCTTGACGAAGTCCGAATTTCAGTGCAGAAGTTCTTTGACGATCAACCAGAAGAATTTTTCAAGAGAGGAATCCAGTTGCTCCGTCAAAAGTGGAAAGAAGTAATAAAGAATGACGGAGAATACCTTTTGGATTGATGTTGATATTTGTTCATCTTGTTAATAAATTTTTTGTTTTTACTGAAAAGGGCCATTATTTAGTTGCCAACCTGATATATATAAAGGGACTAAGATGCCTGTCTGTCTGTCTGTTTGTCTGTTTGTCTGTCTGTCTGTCTGTGCGCCCTACTCCTCAACCCCCAGAGGACCGTTTCAAATGATTTATAATTAGTTTGGCTTAGAACTTTATGTAGTTGTGCAACATGTTTTTCAATATTCAAAAAAACCAAAAGTCTCGACGCTGGCGGGAGTCGAACCCGAATCGTGTGGGCTAGAGACAAGTGCGCTCGCACTGTGCGATCGAGTAGCCGAGCGGTTACCGCGCGCGTCAAGCGAATGGAAGAGGGAGGTCCCGGGTTTGCCTCCTCTTGCCGTCAATTCTTTTACTTTTTGCTCCAAAAATTTCTTTTGCTGGAAAGCACGAGTGAGGCTTCTGGTACAAATCTAAACAACTAACAAACCAGTGTCGCAAGTTGAATATTTTGATATAGTTTTGATGCGGGAGAATTGTTCTGCGACATAATAAGAAGAACGAAAACGAACAAAATTGTCGGCAATAGGATGAAGATTTTATAAAAGACTTGCATCCTATAAAGCTCGTCATCAGTCGGACAAAACATTTTGAGCAAAATATAACATTTTGAGCATTTTTCTAATTAGAATTTACTTCAAAAGCACCTGTTTTTCTAGAAAAGGATTAGCTATCTGAAAGACTTCACCACATCAACTCTATTTTCAGCTGCCAACTGGGGCTGTTTGAATATTATTACACGATTCTTTTTCTTCTGTATCTTTAATACTTACTCTCTCTTCTCTGTCTCTTCTCCTGTAAATAAAGATTCAAGTATTCAAGAAAATCCTAATCCATGTCTATGTCTTGTCTTTCTTCCTCTTTCTTCCTCTTTCTTCCTCTTTCTTCCTCTCTTTCCTTCTCTTTCTTTCTCTTCCTTGTTTTTCCTATTCTTAAGAAAGACCTATCCTCGTCTTATTTCTTCTTGGGCAAAGAAGGCAATAGCTCAGTGATAAAGCCTAGCAGAAGATAAGCAGAGGGTCGAGGGTTCAATACCATTGCCATTCATTTGTTTACTTTAATCTGTTCAAGATATTTTCCTAGATACCGTATCCAGTGATGACCATCGCATGTCCTCCGAGAGGTCCAAGCGCTTCAGAAGTTTGATCAAATATTCCTCCATCATAGTACATGAAATCCCAATTCAAATAGATAGCTGGAAACTTGAAAGGATTGTTGTTTGCAGTGAAGTTTTCTGGCTGTTAGTGTCTGGCTGATACTCACCAACAGCCACCGGTCCATCATCAACGATTGCTCTCTTTCAGGTGTCCATGTCAAAAGGTAGAGGCCTCGTCACCGAAGTCACTCTCACTTTTGGTTCAAACTAAAAACAATTAGATTACGGTAGCATTCTTCTTTTAGAAATACAGTTCAAGACCGAATTTCTTTTAGTTCAATTCAGTTACAGTTCATAATTCAACTAATCTCACCGAGTAGCAAGTAAGATCTCCTTTCGGATTGTAGGGCCAAGCCTCTTCAAAACCGACCCTCTTGCTTTTGTAGTAACTGCAAAGGTTTTGTTAGATTATTCAAAAGTGGCTTGGTAGATTTCTTAGTAGATTCTATCAAATAATAGCAAAAGTTGAACCCACTGAAAAGTAACACTTGGAAAGCCACCCTCGCAGATTGGTTTCTTATTCGGGTAGACATCTCCTGTTCGGACAAGTCGATGAACTCGTATATTGGCCGTTTTCGAGAATACTGAATCTCGAGACAAGCCGCCGTGCTAAACCGGAGGGATTTCAAAAGTTGTGAGAGATCTTGGAACTCACGCAAAAGCCCAGCAACTACCACAGTCTCCTTGATTTCTGACAGGCGGCACCAACTCTTTGTCTCGCCAATCAAATGAGTCGGGCAAGTCACTGCTCTGAAATTTTCCTAATAAAGAAGTGAAGGGATTGACAAGAAAAGTAGAATCCGTAGAGCCTCGATTCCGGAGAGCTTTGAACCCTCAATCTTTTGCTTTCCAGGCAATTGATCTAACCTCTGACTAGACAAGTGGAATAGGTCAGGATGGCCTTCTGTAATGAGACCTAGCTCACCTCTTACGACTTCTTACGCAGTTTTTCATGGAGATTTCGAAGCTGCTTTCAAAATCGGCAAAACAGCTTTCTGGTAAAAGCTATGCGCCAAAAGTTTCAGACTGCCTCTATAAAGTTCCTTTCACTCTGCAAAACAAGTGTGCTGGTGGGTAAGAGCCTTGTATCAAAGACGGTTTTTGCGCTACGCTACGATACGCTTTTTACAGTTACAGTCGGTACAGTAATGCTCTTTCTGCAGCCATATGGGTAAAGATGATGTGCCAGATGATTCACGATTTTGTAAAAAGAGAACAGAAGAAACAAGAAAGAAAGCACACGGAGAACAGAAGAAAACAAATGTTTTTTTGCAAGAGAAATCGAACCAGAGCAAAAAGCGTATAGCCTGTCTTTGATACAAGGCTTTTATCCATCACGCCACTAGAACACTTGCTTATAGAGTGAAAGAGACTTTATGGAGGCAGCCCGAGACTTAACGAGAGGCGATCCCACTATCCACTATAAACTCTGTTCCTCACGGTTAAACTAATTAACGGGTTGAAATTGCTTGGTTAATTTTTAACCGGTTAACGTAAAGGTTCATGCATTTTCTAAAACGCGCGCATTTTTTGTCGCATATAAAAGGATAAAAATTAGCATTTCGCCAAAAAAGCGGCTTTTTGAAAAAGCTTTACTTGTAAATCTTTAACAAGTTTCTACTATTTTCTAATCTGTTTCTTATTTGTTTTTCTTTTGAGTTAATGTTTATTATGTTTATTATTCAGTATTTGATTCGCGATTTTTTTTAAAAACATGCATTTGATTTTAGATTGGTCAACAAATGTAAAACAACAAGAAAGAACAAAAAATGAAGGACATTGGAGGACATAGTTTCGGCATCCGGGCAGACTCTTTTTTTTGTATATTTCCGTTAAACTAAATTTACTGGAGGTTAATTTTTACATTTAGATTGAAATAATGAATGGCCTGGATAATTTTAAAGAATAAGAAACTTCAGAGAAATCAACAAGAAAGGCCAGAAAAAAGAGCAATAAATTACTAAAGGTCAGTTTTTTTTATTTCAAAGTTCATTTGAAAAATTTTCAAAAAACAAATGAACGCAAAATTAAGCGCTATTGGAATTTTTTGACACAACGAGTTGATCAAACCGGTATCACCAGTTTTTTAAAAATGTCTCTTTTCCTTGAATTTCATTTTTCTCTCGAATTGTTCCAATGAGATCAGTGAAAATAATTTCTTTATAACTTTTTTCTCGATTTCCAATCCTTTCCCCTTTTTCGCACGACTTGCACACTTTAAAATGTCAAGTGATTTCATCTTCAGCTACAATGCTAAGCTATTTTTGATGGGATGCATTCTAACTTGCATCACGAATCTCTTCTCCGCTTTCACGCACACTTCCATAAATACCGCCGTCGATGGGGTGGACGATTTCTTAAAGGAGAGCTACAGGAAACGGGGAACTTCATTGAGCGATGCACAAATTTCGTTGATTCGCGGCGTTTACAACAGCGTCTATTATGCGGGACAAGTGCTGGGCGCAGTGTTGGGACCGCATCTCCCCGATAAGTATGGAAGGAAAAGTAAGTTTTAGGTGAATACACAATTTAGAGACGATTTAAGACTCTATTTTAAGCAATAAGCGATTCTAAACTTACTAGTTTGCCTCAGCAAGACAAAAGACAAAAACGAACTCAGTTGCCGTGCATAGTTTATGTATCGAATTCTCCATTAGAAACTTCGAGCATTGGGAATTCGAAAACAAAAGTCACGTGTTTTAAGTGGCTCATGTGATTTTCAGAAGCCTACATTGTCACCACAATCATGATGACCATCTCGAGTGTCATTCAAGCCGTCGCCACTCTAACAATTTATCCGGAAATCATGATTCTCGGTCGATTTGTCGGTAAGTTGCACTTCTGAAGTAGAAAGCTCTACATTATACAGTGGTTCACAAAAGTAATGCCCTATTGCCATCCAAGAGTATGTTTCGTAAGGAAATCTTGATATTTCAGAAAAAGAGTAGAGGCTTTTTGCTTACCCATGAGACTCTACTTTCCAAGAATGTAAGATTTATCCTTGCAGGGTGTCGCATAAAAAAAACGTTTTCAAATCGAATTTCCTAAAAAGTTCTAGTGGCTGCAGGTAGCCGCTTTGGTGTCAAAAGCGTTTATTTGTGTCGAGGAATTTTTCACGTTTTTTCTCTTTTTCACCATATCTTGATACCCTGTACATGAGATTTATGGGTGCCACCATGGCTTCCACCACCAAAAACACTTGTATTTTACCGAGAATTTGCATGGCAGCATGGCAAATGACTCATTCCCTTGCCATTTCTTGAGTGAAAAGCTCGCTTGCTCGTTTTTTTTTGCATTTTCATTGTTTGATTGAATTTAGCCTCGACTAGCACTGTGTATACAATAAAAACAATTTTCACACTCTTGGTACAGGCAAATCCTTGGTAAAAATACAAGTGTTTGTGGTGGTGTGGCTGGTGATGATGATAGTGGTGGTGGGAGCCATGGTGGCACCCATAAATCTCATGTAACAGGGTATCAAGATATGGTGAAAAAAGAGAGAAAACGTGAAAAATTTCGCTTTTGACACCAAAGCGGCTACCTGCAGCCACTAGAACTTTTTAGGAAATTCTATTTGAAAACATTTTTTTATGAGACACCTTGTATAAATCGCATAAAAATTAAAGTATAAAACAAAAAATAAGTTACTTAAAAATTAACTCCACAAAAGTAAGGCCGCATTTGCAAAGAATTAACTAAATTTTTTAAAATCAATACTTGGTTCGTCCTCCTTTTGCTTTTATCACTTCATTGAGTCGATCCGGCATGGAATCCACGAGATTCTTCCAAAGACTTTGGGGGATAATGGCCCAGAGACGTTAAATGTGAACCCATAAGGCGAATTCGAATCGAATTTCTTTCCCTTGAGTCGCGACTTCACAAATGACCAGAGATAACGTTCAGATCTGGTGAGTATAGTGAGATTCATATCTGGTGAGTAGAGAGGCGGATTGATCGATTTGATTCGACTTGCCACAAACCAGCCCGGAAGTCGTGCTCGTGTACCATTTCAAAGAATCACCACTCGTCGCATCATCATCCTTGACTTATGTTTGGGGTCATTATCCTGGTAGAGCAACCATCCAGGTGGCATGGTTTGGGTTGTAAAAGAAAGCATTTGGGTCTCCATAATGTTCTTGTAGGCTACAGCATACATCGTTGAGTGAGCTACTGAAGTTCGTGACATAGCTCCCAAAGAAAAAAAATCAGATAACGAAATACTAAAAAGGCTCTCATCCCAACACATTATCAAATCCCACAAAACTCCAGGTGCTTTCTTTGCTCCAATGAACGACACAGTGATGTTGTTGTATTGTCAGGAGACGAGCACTCCAAAAATGAGGGGAGTCCTCAACTCTCTCTTTTCCTTCGGATACTCAGCGATGGGCTTAATAGGAATGATCGTTGGAATGAAGACAATTTTGGGGAATCATTTGACGATTCTTCTAATGATTCCCGTTCCGTTCGGGTTAATTGGATCGTTTTATCTCTTCTATTTGAGAGAGACTCCAAAGTGGTTGGCCATTGCAAAGTCAGTTCAATTAAGTCTATTTTAATGGAATTTTAGAAAAGATCGAGAAGCTGCGCGGAAAGCTCTTGAATTCTATCAAGGGAAGAAACCGGAGAATGAGAGAATTCTTGACGAATACCTCAACGAGTGTAAAGAAGAAAAAGAAAAGAAATCCTTCTCGGATCTTTTCACCGTTCCACATCTTCGAAAAGCTCTGTTTCTCGGGAACATTTGTCTTCTCCTTCAGTTGCCGTATTTTTCATTTCTCCTCTCGTCGACATATTTGATGAATCAAATTGGAGTACCAAGGTAGGCATTGATAATTTTCACTCCTATGCAAAAAAATCTTTAGTCATCTCTCCGCCTGGGGCTCGACGATAATCTCCACGACTTTGGTCCTGTCGAATCTCGTCGCCATTTTTCTCATCAAAACGTTCAACCGTCGCTCACTGATCCTCACATTTTCCTCACTTGGATACATTTGTGTCTCACTTTTTGCCATCGCTGGTCATTTCCCATCATTGAAATATTTGGCGGCAAGCGGAATGATCGGCTTTATGCTGTGCTTCGGGTGAGAATGAGAGCTGCAATTAGCAAAACAAGCAAGCATATTATTTTATGATTGTAGGCTAGTATTTTGTGTTTTTAAGCATTTAAAGCTTTCTGTGTTTTAATCTCTACTTATTATAAGACAGAAAGAGAGAGAGAGAGAGAGAGAGAGAGAGAGAGAAATGGCTGAGGAAGAGAGAGAGTATGTGTCTGTCTGTTATACGATTTTAGAAAAAAATGGCTGAGCCGATCGGTCTGAAAATTTGACTTATCTATCCAAAATTTTATCTAGTTTCCAAAAATCTAATTAGTTTTGAGGGTTAATTGGAGCGTTTTTTGCAAAAAGCTCCTTTATAGAATGCAAAGTCTCCTTTATACGCGTGGTGGAGTGGTTAGTGGCACTGTCTATGAATCTCGAGCTACTTTTCCATTTAATCCGCTAGATAATTAGCTTTCGAATGAGCTATTACATGATTAAATCGAATAAGATTAGGACCCTCTTCCAAAAAATCGGCGAGAACTTTCTTCTCAACCTAATATAAAGGGGGAGTTGAAACAAAAGGGTCAAATTCATTGAAGTTAACGCCAAAAATCACATCTACCAATCAAAACTGTTAAAATTTTTAAAGCTTTGTAAAGGTAAGATACAGTTGAGCTGGAAGGAAGGGGTTGAATGATTCGGTCGAACTGGAGAACTCGAGTCGAAGTTTTAATAGCTTTCTGTGTTTTAATAGCATCAAACAAGATGAGATTTCAGTTTCGCCATCGGTCCGATTTGTTTCCCGATCACGTGTGAGCTTGTCCCATTGCAGTATCGCTCGTCAGCAATCTGTTTGGCGATTTCGATAAACAGCATTTTCATCGTGGCCGCTAATGTGGCCATTGAACCGTTGATGGAGGTTTGATTGTTTTCGTTTATCAAATTGCCACATGAACTCTTTGAAAGTTCGCTACTTACGTGAGATCAACTTTTCAATGAAATTAGTTGAATACTTTGACAAAAAATTACTTTTACAACTAATTTCAGACATTTGGATCATTGTCAACGCTTTTCCTTTTTGTTCTCCCCTGTTTTCTGTGTCTTATCTATATATATTTTCATCTACCAGAAACAAAAGACTACGAGACTCACGAAATTGTGCAAATGATCAAGGAAGGGAAAACGAGTCTACGAAAAAATGATTCTGACAAGTCAAGCAAAAAAGTCGTCGAATAAATATTTTGTTGAATTCTCTACAAACATTTTAGTTCACTAAAGCAAATGAGCAATGAGCGATGAGCAAATTAAATGCAAATTAGACTCATTTTGTGTGCTGGTAAATGTGTTTTTTTAAATCTTGCAACATAAAAGTCGTTTTTCTTCGAACATTTTGTTGAAAGCGTGTGATAATGTATTATGAACGACAGAGCTTCAATCTTGATCATCATTTTTGAGCTATCGAAGAGATCGGTTCAGCTTGTATCGTCTTCGCTTTTTGCTTATGAAACCAAGAAAAACTCCGACAAAATATTGTATTTGTTAGAAAAACACTTGCTTTAGGTAACTAATCTGGAAGCCACGATGAAAAAGTTACTGTAAACACCGCGCTAACACCAACAAAGCGACCATTTGATTTTGTTTTTATGTTTTATCCAGTCGATCGGTTAAACAATGTTTTTATTTTAAATAACAACGACAAAAGAAAAGAAGAAGTAGAAAGCGGCGCAACAACAGGACAGTTTTTTTATGTGACTTCTAAAAAGCAAAAATGGTTTAAAACTACCGTAAATACTGTAATAGTACCCCATCCCATAATGACGATGCGGAGTGTTGCGTAGTCTAGCTTTAAACGAGTTTTTCTCGACACTGGTTTATGCTAAAATGCGCGCGTAGGTATCAAAAAAATAGCCCTGAATTTCAGCTATTTTTTGATACCAAAGACGCATTTTTTGAAAGTACGGGCGCTTTGAAAAAATGAAATACTAAAAAACTTTTGCGACTACGCGACTGTACGAGGGGGATGGGGTACTATTACAGTATTTACGGTAGTTGTTTTTTATCAAACCATTAAAGCTGTTGCTCATCGTAACTACTTGCTCTAGGCAATTGAAAAACTAAATCATTAAAACAAAAAATGTAAATTGAAAAACAAAAGTAAAAGTTTGAAAGTAAAGTTTACAAGGTAAAAACTTTTTTTTAGTGTGTTTAGAAGCAATTTTGCGTTAAATGTAATTAAAAAAGAAAATTTGCATTTCTTTGCCGCATCCACGTTTTAGAATTGCATTATCCGAGATCAACGCACTCTACCAAACACAACCTTTGTGCACCCCGTTGCGCAATCGGCCTCCGGAGCATCGCAAAGCAACGGTGCACTTGGATTTCTCGAAGAAACGTCACTAAGTGTGAACTCAGAATTTTATATTAGTAAAGTTTAAGCTTTATCTTCCATGCAAGGGCATCCGTAGGTCCATGAATTGCAAGTCCTTGTTTGCGCCTTTTTCCCAGAAAAACCGCAATCTCCCGAGCAAGTCTATCAAGTCGACCATTGACCTAAACTAGGAACCAAGTGATGCAGGTATAGTAATGTAGAGTTGAAAAAATAAAGCTAGATATGCAAAATATTAAGTCATGACTCTATGAGGTACACGTGATTTTGGTGGTATGACTTATCACTTCATAACAAAAAAATGCTCACAGCTGTCTCTTCGACTTTTCTTTCCTTATTTTGAAAATTTTCCGGCCATAAATCTGGCCAAAAGGCCATAATTCTAGCCATAAATCTTTAGATTTAAGAAATCAAAAGGTTTTCCAAACAAAAATATTTTTGTTTTGTTTTGTTATTTTGTTCATTTTAATGCATTTCTTTCTTTTAGCTTACATTTAGATAAATGCCAAAGAAGAATCGCAAAAAACGCTCGAATGGCTCAAAGAGCAAAACAACGATAACGGGAAATCCTGAAGCTTTGCCTCCCAATGAACCAAACGAACAACCCACTGCACATTTACCTTCGTTTCCTCCCGGAATAACATCCGCGCTGATCAGTTTTCTGGCAACCTCACCAGACTCTGAGGTATTTGCTTTTTTAAACTTGACAAAATCAATCCTATTTTTAGTCAACTCAACACTGTAAGTAACAATTTTTCTCACCTTTATTTTACAAAGCTTTTCACTTTCAGAAATATGGCCCACAATTCATGAGATTGTTGGAAATATTCAAGTCCAAATATTTCTTGCCACTTCGGTACGAACTTCAGTTACAAGCTCAGGCGGTTGGGTTAGCTCGATCGTACCCTGTTGCAGAGTTTACTGTCGAAAAATGGTAAGTTACTTTTTAAAGAGCTTTATATAATTATATAATTCTATGATGAGCTGTGACTTAGGTTGCTTAGGTTCTATTTAGAGATTTTCCAGCCTGTTAGCTGATGTGTTGGGTGGCACTAAGGTGGGATCAGCTGAGCTGGCATCCGCTACGCGGCTGCTTAAAAAATTTGCATTAAATTCCCCCTCTTAAATGCAAATTTGGTGTGAAATGCAAATTGGATGGCGGTAGTAAATTTTAAAGGCGAATAACTTGGTGGGAAATGACGTGAAACAGACTTCAGATTCGGAATCAGCGATTTTTTTTACCTTAAAATGGGAGTTTGCAGCCCCCTAGCTCAATTCCCCGAATAAAAACCTCGGACAGACAGACAGACAGACAGACAGACGAATGGCGTTATATATATATATATATATTAGATGTATGAATGTTTCAGCCCAGGCCTGGGTCTGTATGTCAGGTAAGACCAGAGCCTGGCCAGAAGCCAGGCCTGGCTCCTGGTAGGCCCAGTTACTTTTACAGCTGATCTAGAATAAAGTCAGCCTAGGTCTAGAGCCAGGATGAGTGTAGATCAAATTTCATCAACACCATCATCTTCCTTATACTTTCAAGTATTCGATTCAACCCTTTAAGGCTTGATGACTGGGGGAAACGTTGCGAGTTTGCCTCTCTTTATCTGGAACAACTTCTTCCCGCAAATTTAGCAGCCAATGGTTATAACCTAGAAAGTGGGCTAACTTACAAAACTTTATGAATTCAAAATTTCAGGTAAGCATACTCGAGTTCATCTCAGGCTTTTAGAAGACTTTTCTTCATACTTTCAACATTTTTATGCGGTTTTGAGTAAGCTTTTGCCTCAAGGGCGGACCGGCCAGAATAATCCAATCATTTAGGTCCGGTCATTCAAAAAAAAGATGAAATCGGGAAACTTCACTTTGCAAAAATCTTCGACTTTTTTGGCTTTGTGAGCCGGAGGCCCGTCTTGTTGGAATGTCCAAATCTGATTTTTGAAATGCTTCTGTGCCGAGTGCAAAATTTCAAAATTTGAGGAGATCGAGATAGTTAATAATAAGTCACTGCACCTATAATTATGGGTCATTCTGTAGAAAACTTCAATTTGCCCTGGGCAAAAGATCAAAGTGTTCTATGTTACATTTATCTGTCCAAGCACCAAATTGAAAACATCCTAGGATTACCGAATGGGGAAAACGCTGTGAATTTGTGATCGATTACCTGGAACGAGTTCTTCCACCGGAGCTGGAGCAAAGAAATGTCAATAGACAAAGTAAGAATCACAGTCTACCGTTGATCATTCAGTTACAGAAGTCCAAGAAGCAATACAACGGCGAGGAAACACTATAAAAGGCTTAAGTTTGGAATTTGTACGTTTCTAACAAGTTAGATTGAATAAATTGATTATGAGCATTTACAAGAATATCAGTTTAGCATCGTATGTCTGATTGGCGAAAAGTTGCATTTGTTGATCCGTTGAGAATGATCTACACGCTTTCACTTGAACTACTCAAGAACCCAGTGATCAACTCAGTCTGGTTGGTTGAGATTTGAGCAAGTTGATGTTACTCTGAGGTTTTATTCAAGCTTTAAATCCCACTTTAGGTTTGATGGTTCTTGGGCATACACATCACCCGATCCAAATCCAAGCAATGAAGAAAAAGAAAGGGTTTGTCGCAGATACAGTTTGTCTATCTCAATCTCTAGATCCAAAATTTATGGCTGGGATTTGAAACTCCGCTTGTTGTTTGCATGATTGTGGATACATGAAGCTACTATCCCTGTAACTACTTTGCGATGTTGTGATAAAAATATGTATTCTTCCTTGTGCCACAGTCTGAATTAGTGCATTTCTATGTATCTAATATAGAAGTGTAAAATCAAAACAGTCAAAACAAATCAAGCAAAAGTTTTGAGTCAAAATTTTCCTTTTTCAAACTCATACAACAGATTGCCGGGTAATTTTTCGGAAAATCGACCGAATCGAGAAATTTTCGACTCTTTTCATCCAAATCTTTCGCCTTTTTGAGCACTTTCGTCTTGGTGAAACAATTTTTGTCCCATTTCTCGTAGATTTCAACAGAAATTTTCCCAACAGCTAGGTCTTGGATTAGTAGGATTAGTAGTTTAGAAAGTTGATTCTAAACTGGACATTAGAAATTTTGGATCTTTACGGATAACGGCGCAGTCGATCGATTAGCGACGGGAATAGCGATTATCGGCGCGAATGATTTCTTGTCCGATTAGCGACGGGAAGAAGAGAGAATGCACGATATTCAACCATTTAGTTCAATAGCTTTTTGTTATTTTGTGCGCACGAGCACGAGCAAACTCGTATTCGTCATTTTTTGGCTCGTCATTTTGATTTCCGCGCATTCTGCGCATTATATTAATGTATTCCTTATCACATTGACGACGAAGCGTTTTTCTGCTAGGTTGTGATCTGGGACGAAAGAACACCGTTAGGCCAAATTCTTGGAAAACATGTAATCTGCGGTTTTTAAGGGTGGGGAACACGAATCCAAGGACAGGTTTTAAAAACCTCTGTTCGGCATCCAGAATTAGGAGTCAGAAATCGAAAGTGAGTCTATGCTTTGACTGCTTTGACTGCTTTGACTGGCGGATCTGTTCACAAACTCTAAAAGTTCTAATCTGTTCTGCACACTTTTGTTTCAAGGTGTTGAAAAATTTATATTTGCGTTCATGCAGAGTCCTTTATTAGACACATTCTACTCTTTCTTGTAACAGTACATGCTACACCAAGTGTCGTCAGGACATGGCTTCCCATCACTCGTCAATCCTGTACATTCCTCGCCCGATCGACAGTCTGAGCGTCGACTACACTTTTTTAGCTCCTGAAAATATACTTTTCAAAAATTTTTAAGCAAAAAAACGGACAAACGCTATTTTTGCACCTTTTTGAGGTCTGCACATCTCTACTAAAGCCTCTGTAAAAACTTTAAAACGCAATGAATCAACAAGCGGCTTTTTTCATTGAGTTCGCTTTATAATTAGCTTTCGAACGAGCTATTATACGTCCAAATTGATTGAGTTTGAGACCGTCTCCCAAAAAACTGCACGAACTTTTCGTTGAACCCAATATTAACGGTTGGACAAAGCCGAGAAAGAACTAGGCAAGTAAAAGGTTATTGGCTTTCGAATTTCTCCATATTCCAGCTGGGAAACTTAATTCACCAAGCAAAAAACGATTACCTTGTTTAGAAAAGTCTTGCAAAGATTTTTGCTTTGCTTAGGCTTGCTTTGCTTAGGCTTGCTTTGCTTAGGCTTGCTTTGCTTAGGCTTGCAAATTAGACTTTAAATTTCAAATAGCCAACCTGAGCCATCGTGACTCCCACGGAAAATGTGAGAACAAGTAAAACAAAGAGAATTTTCATCTTTCACAAAATTCTATCTTTACCATCACTTTTATACTCAGACATCGCACAACTTGGCGAGAATTAATGTGTTCAAAAATAAAGACTCACATCATTTTGTGTTTTGGTCAAATTTAAACTCATTCTGTGTTTTGTGTGAGTAACCTTACGAACTCGTCATCTTTTCATCCTTGGATGCACATAACGCACATTTTATGGGGTTGAGGCTGGGATGACAAAACATGCTTGGCGCTGGGATTTGAAGCTGCGATCTCTCGCTTACCGGGCGAAGGTTCTACCAATGAGCTACACCAACACGTGTCCCATTGCCGTCAGTGTAAATCCTTATGCTTTACTCTCCTCTATGAGACTGGGCCCACGAGTTTCAGAGATCCCATTCATATCCCGGTCTCTTAATTTCTATGTACCTCGAAATCTCCAAAATTCCATCAAAAGGCTGTATAGCGAGAGAAAAGTGAATAAACCAAGCAAGTAAAATAATAGAATCGAGAAAAACGATGTGTATCGAAGCAATTTACATTTATTTTTCAAGTTTGTGCTTTAATAAAAGACAAGTCAAGAAAACAAAAAGCAAAATCAAACATTCTAAAACATTGCCCTTTGATGTTCAAGATTTGATGAATCTTGCATGAGCAATCAGAGATCAAAGACATTGAAATTGAACAGTTGTCGGCTTTCTTTTCAAAAATTTAGATTTATGCTTGAATTTTTTCTAGAAAAGGCGCAAAAAGGACAATCGGAAAGGAGCAATTCTTGCAAAAATGAACTTTTTTTCTATTCTTTCTCTTGGCGATGTCCATTTTGGGAATTGTGATTGTTGAGGTGAGCGGGCTAGAAAAGTTACAAGTGTAAAATTATAAAAAGTATTCAGTTCTATAAAAAGTTCTAAAAAAAGGAATAAAGAGTCTTCGGTTTTACCGAGTTTTCTTACAATTCTTCGTCAAATTATTAGCTAACATCATCTTTAATTTAAGCATTCATAGAGAAGTTTTAGGCATCGCCTGAATTCAAACGGGTCAAGAGGCAAGGGGTGAGTTTAAAGTTTCTTCTCAAGTAAAGAAATAAGTTCAAATGGACACTTTCAGTTCAATTTACCCTGATTTCAGAAGATTTGTGGCAGCAATTCGGACTGTCCACCGGGTGAATCGTGTGTTGCGGGCGGGAGTCGAAAATATTGTCGAGGAAAATAATTGACGAGTTTGAAAAAAAATAAAGCATTTGATTTGATAAGCTGACGCTTTGAGAACCAATCAAAACAACTTCTTTCTAGCAATAAATTACGTAATTTAACCAAAAACTGTCTTACAGCCGCCTTTTTCCTAGACAGTGTTGTTTTCAAATCCGAAAACATCTGTATTATGATGACCTTGTTTGTTTTCTGTTTATTGTCGATTTTGTGTATTTATTCAGTTGTTCTATAGATCTTCAAAAACTTCGAATGTTTTTAGTAACTCGATTTGGATTAAAAAAATTGAATAACATTAGTGTAAGTAGACAAAACTTTTTTGGAAAAGCATTAAAGATGATATTTTTCTGAGTATAAAAGGCCGGTTTTCGAGGAATAGTCAGCAATCAGCTTTTGTCTTGAATTCGATTTGTAAAATGTTCAAACTTGCCTTGATTACTGCCTTGATCTTTGCGGTGAGTTTAAGCTTAATCGTTCTAATTGAAGCTGATAAATGGTTTGTTGCAAGATCTGATTGTTTCTAAATCTTTTCCCTTTCCTTTCAGCTCTCCCTCGCCGATGGCCGCAAGAAACGCCAGGTTCCAGGGATGTTAGGATCGGTAAGACTTGACAATTATGACATTAATTTATCAGGAACAGTATCCATCAAGATACCAGTATCAAATTTATACCATTCAGCTCCCAGCCAGCATGAGAACAGGTCTAATGAGCCAGGGTGGACTGAACGGGATCTCTGGAATCTCGGGAATCAATGGAGTCTCTGGATTGACTGGGTTGAATGGAATGTCCGGACTCTCGGGTATCAATGGAATCAATGGAATCAATGGAATCAGTGGAATGAATGGAATCAATGGAATCAGTGGCTTGACTGGTCTCAACGGTATCAATGGACTCAATGGTGTCCCCGGACTTTCGGGATTCCCTGGAGTCAATGGAATCTCCGGACTCAATGGCCTTGGTGGACTGAACGGACTCAATGGACTTAATGGAATCAACGGAATCAATGGATTGAGTGGACTCAATGGGCTTAATGGAATCAACGGAATCAATGGATTGAGTGGACTCAATGGAATCTCTGGTTTAAATGGACTTAACGGACTTACGGGTCTCAACGGCATCAATGGACTTACCGGACTTAACGGCAATGGAATCAACGGAATCTCCGGATTGAATGGAATCTCAGGGCTCACCAACGGACTTTTCCCATCAAATGGAGTGAGTTTAATGACTAAACCAGTTTTGCAATCTTAAATTTGAATAGAGAATTGATTGGGATAGCAAGTAAAACTTGTAGAATCGTCTAAGAACAATCCTTTGTTATTTCAACTTTCCTACGATCAAATTTCAGATCAACGTTTGCCTCAGTGTTCTTGATTGTGCTGGAGCTCAGGTAACGAATAGATAAGGAAAGCAACCACCATCTGTTAAAGCTAGCCAGCTATTTTCAAGTACTATCAATTCCAGAGATGCTGCGGAAATGTGAACGGTGGTGGCCTCCTCAGCAGCATTTTGGGTGGAACTAGCGGCACTCTCGGAAAGCTCCCAGCTGTTGGAGGGGTTGGTTAATCGAAAGCTTGTGAATCTGATAGTAATCAATGACTTGGCAAGCATGTTTTACCCAGTTTTGTCATTCTAAAGCCTACCTTTTCTACAGTAAACCTTATGGTTAACGGTATCATTTCAGCTCGTTGGCCGCTGCTCTCCAATCTGTCTTCTCGGAGAGATCAACTTGTAAACCAAAAAGGGAACAATTTGAAACGTGTTGTAAATAAAGGCATTTATTTTTTTTATTCAATTTCACAATCCCCAGGAAACTGCTTAGGTTTTTTTCGGCATATTACTTTTCTCATTTCTGATCTGTGCTTTCAAATCTGTTTTCAAAAAAAACGAGGAAATGATGTTGACAATTGAACACCTAATTTCTGACCCGGAACTTGAACCGGCTTTGGAAAGATTTAAGGAACTTTCCACTTTACTTTAAGTGAATACTACCAGCAAAAGAACTTCATTGAATGCCGAGTCGAAATGTGGAAAAAAAAGAACCGAAAGAAAACAAAAAGGCTCCAAATGAAGTTACTGTTTCAATCTGGGCCTTTTTGAAGTAAAAATTTGTCAGAAGAAAGATTGGAAATGGAAAATGTCATCTATAAGACCTTCATCTAAAACTATTCATTAACCATAAAAAACTACATCTACATATTACAAGTAGATAAGCAAAAACAAAACAAATAAAGTTATCACAGAGTTTTCACTTTGATTTCACATCTCATCAGAGTTCAGAGCAAAACAAAAAAATTTCGCTTTTTTGAAAAATTTTGAGTACAAACTACAAAATAACTCGAAGTTTTTGTGCTGGACAGAACGACCTAGCTCAGTCGGGTAATATTTTTCTCGTGGTTTCCGGTCCCTTTAAAAAAAACACGGTGTGACGTAGGGCAAATAAAAAAATGCATCAAACTCCACTCCAGCCAGATATTCATCAAAGTCAAATGGTCGCATGGTCAAATTTGGTCAAATAGTCAAATTACGGTAATTTTCCCACATTTTAACTCCCACAGTCCCTTAAATCTTTCGGCGCTTATTCCTCTTTTGTGGGTGCTCCGAGTTTTATTTTTTGCGAATTTCTTAGCTAGCTGGAAAGATTTAACAGGATTCAGCTCTTTGCTCTGTCATTACAACTCTTTGTACTTGCAGTGGAATGAAAAAGAGTGAAAGAAACGAGACGGGAAAAGAGTTCAGCAGAAACATTTGCAGAGAGTCATTTATTGTAAACAAAAATAACCCACAAAAAGCGCTTTTCCCTCCAAAATATCTTCAAATATCCCATTTGCCATTTCTGCGTAACCACTTCAGATCCGAAATTTTCTCTTTGCTCTCAATTTGAAAGCACTTTATAGTCAAAATTTCTTTGATGAAATGATTTTGCGAGCAATTGGCTACCAAAAAGACAGCGAAATTGTTGCTTTTCGTCAAAAGTATGTGACAAAAATTGCTTCTGACAATTTTTATTCAGCTGCTGGAATTTGAAATGCAGAAACCCGGGAATCGATGTCGACTATTTGATTGCAGCGCTGAAATTGACGGGACTTGAAGCTGAGGTTGTGAACTTTTCTACAGTAACCCTAACAGGAACTTTTACAAAAAAAATCTAAATCAGGTGATTCCAATCGATTACCCAGCCCCAAAGGCCGTTGAAATGATTGCTAATGGAAGCGCCGATCTCACCGTTCACGCAATCATTCAAAATGTCGAGCGGCTCGAAAAGGTGAAATCGAGAAATGATACCAACAAAAAAATATCAAACAACATGCTTTACATAACTAAGTTTACCCTTTGATTTCGGATTTGCAAGCATTTTTGCTTACAAAGTAGCAAAGATAGTCAACTCAAAAGTGCATAACAGCAAAGTGCGGCAAACGGAGGTTGGCTAGGGAATTTTAGGGCGCCCTGTATAGTTACATCTTCAGCATTTCAGGTCGACTTCACTGTACCAATCAATTACCTCGTTTACGGCTACATGATAATGGAAATCGACGAGTTTCAAGTTTAGTACCGCTTTTTCCAACTAATATCCCTTCTACAGATCAAAGATTTCATTCTCAGCTCACTCCATCCCGAGATGCTTCTTCTATTACTGATGGGACTCCTGATAAAGTAGTTTTCTATAAAATTCAACCAATTCGCTTTTTAGCTCCTTTGCCACGTGGGTATTTTCGAGGAAAAAACGAAGTTTTTGGGATTGCTTGATGTTTTCATTGAGAGTCCTCCTCTCGCAGGATACACCACATCAAAAAATGTAACCATTAACAAAAACTGTTTCCCTGTTTTCATCACATTACTGTTTTTAGAAGACATACTCTTGCCAATTCATTCTTTATGATTTCATGGTTTTGGTTTTGCTTTTTTCTTCACACTTCATTTCGAGAGTGCTATGACAAGTGCTTTTACTCTATCGTCAAGGAGAGGGTGAGTGAATGAACAAACCATCAATGTTCAATCTTAAATCGACAATCACCAATATCAATGAACAATGAAAGTGTTAAAACATCTTGCTGCCTTTCATTTTTTCCTTTCAAAATTTAGCTACGACTTCATAAATCTCGACGGCTTATTGGATGCAGTTGAGAAAAAAGGTAAAAGAGGTTATGTGCTGTGGCTTAAAAGTTAGTTGATTGGTTCGTCGGCTGTTTTTTGGTTCATAACGAAGCAAGACGCTAAAAAATTAGAGTAAAAAGCTCATTTACCACAAAAATCATTTCTCTTTATCAAGCTCTGCCATTTCTTTTTGTAAAAAACTGAACCTTCAGAAACAGTGACATTTCAAAAGCTTTCCATAAACATTTCTCAAAAATCTCTTTCTAGGATGGCATATTCTTGTTCACGAGGAAATCGGTTGGAATCCAATGGCTTTTTGCAAACATTTTTACAATCAATGCAACCGTTTAGAGAACGCTTTGAAGAAGTGAGTGCTTTAGATTTGATTGATTTTCAAAATTTTAAACCTTTTAAGAGCCGTTCACGTTCCACGAAGCTGGAATCCGGATAACGTGAGTGAGCTCGATAAATTTACACCTAACAAAGGAACCCCACCAGACCCCCGACATTGGCTAGAAACAGAGTGTTTCTGATGCAGAATTTTACGGTGATTCCGAATCTGTAATCAGAAGCTCCTAAAGCCTCAAGCAAAAAAAGGATATTTTACTTTTACTTTTCGTGACATTTTTTCGCAGCCATCGGCGCGCAATAAGCTCCTTTTTCACCTCTTCCAACTACCTCGATGGTCTGGTGGTTAGTGCATTTGCCTCGGGACCAACTGCTGTCTTTTTGCATGGGTTCAATCCCCGTGCCGCCATCTTGTTTTGCGCGGATACATTGCGACGTTAATCGTGAGGTTCCTTTGTAAGCTTGTTCTATAAAAAACAAGTAAAAGACTAAACTAAACTTCAGCATCTGACCTCAAAATCCGTCCTCTTTGTTGGCCTCCACGAACATCTCGTTCCCACCGATGTCATCATTTTGAATCGAGAGAAAAGACTACTTTTCATCAAAGATTCCTCTCTCCAGCCGAGCCATCTCTCATTTGCACTCAACAAGTTTTTTTTTCTTTATTTTTGAATGTAAAACTTTCAGAAATTTATCAAAGGACATTCTGGAGAAATTGAACCGAGGACTCGAAACGATTCAAGGGTCTTATGCTAACTTTGCAGCCAGGTAGCGATCAGGTTTTGCAGCTAGAACGTCTTCAGCTGTGCCAGTACTAATTTACACTTCAGATACGCAAACCCGTTCACGCCCTATGTTCGTTCTGTTCACTCGTCCGGCGAATTCTACGCGCTCGGTCTGCTCTATTTGTGGCCACTCTTTCGTCTCTGTCTCATTTTCATCGGTCTCTCCATTGGAGCGCTCCTCATCGAAGTGATTCAGAAGAGAATCCACTATAAAAAGTTCAAGTTGTAACGTTTTTACATTCATAGATAAAGTTTATTGATCTATTAAATTGTATTTTCCCTTAGATTTCTGTCTGTGGTTGTGCCTCGATCCACTTCTTAATAGCCGGAATCGAGTGAATCCTCTCCATATGAGCTTTTGCCTAAAGTACGTTGTTTCTAACATAATTTTTGGCATAAAGTTCAATTTATGTCATTTATGTTTTATGTATTTTGATGTAAAGTAACCTCAGGGTATTTGTCGAGATAATTTGGATTGTAGCGAAGAAAAGTCGTGCAGTGATCGGCCACCAACAAATCGATCCACGAGGGTTTTTCTCCAATCTACAGATTTTTGAATATAAATTTGAAAATATTTTTTTTAAACTAAAACCAACAATGTAGCCGGATTCGTTTCCGCGAAGGAATTTACAAATCGCCGGAAAGAACTCGTCTCGGCCTGGCTCGACGGAGAGCTTGAAGGCCTCTTCCTGGAATAAAAAAACTTTATTAGCAAAGAGATTTGAAATCTCTACCATTGTTTGATCACTGATTTTGAGCCAAGACTTATAAAATGGGCGGCAAGCCTCAAAGAGTGAATCGTAGTGGATGCCGACTGAGTCAATTAGAGCCGCCTCCCAAGCATTCGAACCGTTCAAACCTGAAAATTAGCAAAGAACATCAATTGACAAACGATTTTGTTTTGCGTTTTGGCTTGTTTTGCTCTGAAATCAAAACGAAACTCTGACAAAAATCTTGTCAAACGTGTTTTTTTGTCAAATTTGATAAAGTTGCCTTTTGAAATCATTATGAAATCACCATGCTCATTCGCAATAAACTTGGCAATCGCATTTGCCTGACCGAGTTGTTTCCCGTCCACTTCCAGTACGGGCAAATACCCGTAGGGTGTCTCTAAATAGTAAAGAATCGAATTTTGCAAGTAATAATCTAATTTCTTAGCTTTATTTTTTAAAACAACAAACCTCTCTTCATCGCTGGCCATTCATCCGAACCCAACGGTTGACGAAAATCCTCGAATTCGATTCCAGCCAATGTGAAGAGCTGACGAATGAACTCACCTGAATATGACCACTAAAAGTTAAAAAAAATTTTCCAAACCTTTCCCACGAACAGCAAAATAAATAAGCTTATAGTGTGGCATTGAAAACAGCTGAAAATTTGAAAAGTATACTGATTTTTTTTGAAAAATAGCGTTGCTGAATCGTGGAAAGAGAAAGAAAACACACGGTTTTGCCAGAAAAAGAAAGAAAGAAAACCAATGACCTTGCTCTTCTTTTTGCACATTAGTGAACGTAAAAATCTTTCTTGATATTAAAAAATAACACTATTGAGTCAGAGTAAAGTTATGCAGGAATTCTCAAAGTTTTAGAGAAAGTAATCCTTCCAAACTGAACATTTTGTTAATTGGAAAAGCTTTTACTAAGATCATAACCAAAAAAAACCGAAACTTTTCATGAAAAGATAAGCCGAATCGTGTCAATCGATCGATTACAAGCAAATAAATGAAATTTTCGTTAGGCCGGTCTTAAAAAAAGCCGAGAGGAAATAAAACTAAAACACTCTAAGACATTTTCCTGTTTATTGACGTTCCATTTTTGTGTATTTATTCAGTTGTTCTAATTAGATCTTTTTAGACTTAACGGGCTTAATGGCATCAATGAATTCTCTGAATTGAATGGAATCTCAGGGCTCACCAACGGACTCTTTCCTTCCAATGGAGTGAGTTTTTGGTTGAACGAGCTTTGTAATCTTAGCTTCAAATTGATCACAGACTAGTATGGCAAGCAGGCACCAATGACCCTTAACAAGGCTGTTATCCCAACTTGCTATTTCAATATTTCAGACCAACGTGTACCTCAGCGTGCTTGATCGTGCTGGAGCTCAGGTAACGAATAGCTAAAGAAAGCAACCTGTTAAAGCTAGTCAGCTATTATCAAGTACTATCAATTCCAGAAATCCTGCGGATTTGATGATTCAGGTTTGTAGTTTAGACGTTGCTGGAGCAACAAGACCAGTTTTGAGCAAAAGCAAAATGACGTTCAATTGTGATGCACAATTTTAATTTTAGTTTGTTAGAATAAACTTGGCCAACAACAAACTTGGCCATTCAGCACTTGAGCTATTTTGAGTCGGCAAAGTAGTTCTATTTTGATCTTTCGAAGCATTTTGACTCGCAAACCGTCTGCTATTTTGCTCTGGTCCAAATTTAGATCAAGGACTCTAATTTTAGAAACTTTTATGCTAGATGGAATAATGTTCACAAATCAGCCTTTAAATATCCGTTTGGATGACCAAGGTTTCATCCATAAACAGCAAATGCGCAAGTACTCATCCGAAGGCTTATAAAATGAGTTGTAGATCTTCAATCGGGAAACTTTTAATAGATAAATATGGCCAAGATTAAGGGCTTCAATATTTTTATAACACTTAACACATTAGGGTTGAAGTTGATGCTTAGGAGCTAATCAACCAAAAGAAGTCGCCGTAAATACTGAGCACCCTGTATTAATAAACCGTAAAATTATAAATTTAATCTTTAAACTATCCTTAAGCTTCCAAATTCTGTTTAGATAGTAGGTTTACTATTATAGAAAGAATTGTTCTTGTTGTTATATTGTGAGTTTTGGGGAAACCCGTTTAACCTTTTATTCTATTCCGCTTCTGAAACAAAATCGTCCCCAATAATAAGATTGAAGGCGGTCCCACCCCGAACTATTGAATTCAGCCTAGTCAGTCTTCTGGCACTTCTTCAAAACAACAACCGGCTTACCGTATTCTCTCTAATAGTAGTGCACCCTGAGCGTTGCCTAAATTGTTCGAAATCTCGAAAACCGCTTATAGAATACGGTACTTCATGCGAATTAGCAGAGCACCTAAAGGTTGATCAATCCACGGTAGTCAGGCATCTACACGTGCTTGGGTTTACATCGAAATTGGGGAGTTGGATACCTCATACCCTGACCGACGCCCAGAGATTGAACCGGATCACGATCAGTGCTGCTACTATGATCCAATCACGAGACATTGTCTAGAGTTTGAGTGGAATGATTGTGGAGATAAGTGGGCAAATCAATCCAAGATATGGACGTAAATGTACAGAGTATTGCCATTGATGAGAGAATTGAGTAGAATTTCTGATAAAGTGTGTTGATGAGAGATCGTTTCCTTTATTAGAATGGATAAAATTCAAAATTAAGTACCAATGTATCGAATTCAAGACTGCTGAATCGTCGAAGAGACAAATAGTCGCCCCACGCCGTCTTTCCTTTGGCTTTTTAAGGCAAAAATATGGTGATTGTACTGTGTGTTTTTCATCGTTTTTCGGATCAAACAACCGCATTTGAGTAGAGGGAAATAGAAAATTCGTAAAAGAACCTGAGCTTGACAATTACTAATTTGCAAATTTGGTACAAAATAAGACTCATAACAAGCCAAGCTATTTCAGTCCCACCAAGCCAATCTTTCTAACATTTATGGAGCCCCATTTGAGACGATCACATTACATTAACTAAGAGCACCTATTTTTCAAATACTTTTTATGATACGCATCATGATATTTCTTATGCACACTGATAAAAGAACTTAGGAGTAGAGTACAAATCACAAAGTTATCTGTGAGTTCTCTGATATCTCTAAAAAAACCGATTTTTCATCATTTTTCAATCATTTTGTTCTAAGCGCTGGTTAATGCTAAAAATATGTGTTATATTGTTAATTTGATACCTAAGCGCGCAGAAACAACGATATGAGCGCTTGTTTGAGAGTAAACTTAGACTACGCGACGCTCCTATAGGGCGTTCTCCTATTAAACCCTTTACGGTATCTGCTCTCTGAATATCTTATGGTTTAGACTTTAATCTCAACATATTCAATCAAATAGGAAAAGAGAAAGAAGGCGGTTAACTTTCGAGCAGTCGCTTTCAAAAAGCTTTCAAGAAGACCCGTGTTTATATTATTTTGGAAAAGCATTTAAAAGTTCGTTAAAAGTTTAGGTAGAGTTAAAAATATTCTCTCTTACCACCCTCAACACACAAACTCTCGATTCGATTTCTTTCTTGCGTTCATTTTTTTGTTGATTGATCAATAATTCTAATGCTTTCTTTTTAGGAAATGAGGGTGTTTGAATCGCTCAACTGCATTGTCTGCAAGAAACCGTGTAAGTTTTTGCTTTTCAGTTATGGATTTCGAAATAATCTAGATTTTAAAGCGTAAACAAAGTGGTTTTGTTTGATTTGCCAATCTTTTAGTTGCTCGAGTTGCTAATCAACGTCGATCTCCACGTCATTTGTATTGTGGATTGGCCATGTGCAATGAATGTTTCGAGCAAGAGAAGACGTTGGAACAAGAAGAGAGAAATCATCAATGTGGAGATAGTGACTGTTTCTACAGCGAAAACTTTGCCTACTTTTTGATTGGTGAGTTTTATTTTGATTTTTGTTTAGAGTAAAAGCTGAGTAATCAATCGAATTGTTTTAGATGTTTTGTCCCAAAAAAGCGCTTTGGTGTTTACTCCAATGGGATATTTGCTTGTGAAGGTTGGATTTGGGATTTACAAATTATAGTGATTCTTTTAGCCTTTCAAAATTCCGGAGTGTCTAATTTGTCTGGATGAATGTAAGTTTGATGACTTGCTTTAAAAAATCTTGGTTTAGATTCAAATCAAATTGAGGCAAAGAAATCGTTTGCTCTTGGATGTGGGCATATCATTTGCACGGAATGCTATTTGAAGACACGTCAGAAATCTTCTGTGGATTCAAGTCTCTACAAAATCAAATGTTCAACTTGTACAGAAACATATGATATGTACGCTGCTGTCAACAAACAGAAAGATCGATTTCATGGTAGATGAATTCATTTTACATTCACTAATTTTTCTTTAGACTTTCTAAATGAGCTGCCCGAAATGACTCGACAAATGGAGGCAATGATGAATGCTGCGAGAAATGTCAAAGATGAATGTAGCTGCAACGAATGCCGCAAAAAGGTATGCCTACTTAAATTGATTTCTATAGAGATATTTTAGGGTATTGTCGACGAAATGTTTTATTGCGGTGAATGTGGTTTTGAAGTAAGCTATTGTTAATATTAATTAAGCTCTTTTTTATTTATAGATTTGTGGCGCTTGTGCTTACAAAAAACATCGTGTACATGAAGCCATTCCGTTATTGGAAAAGCAGGTATCTTTTGCATCTTGTTATTAGTTTTGCTAGTTTGGAATTGAAAGGCGTACTATATTAATTTCATGTGTTTAGGCTAACCAAATGTTGATGGAACTTCAACAAGAGTCAAGAAATGTCATCAAGACGTACAAGGATTTGGTTCCTGAACTACACAAGGGCCTTCTTGAGGGCATTGACATCTTTGAGACGGCACTTTTATCAAATAAAACCAATTGAAGTCGATATTTCTTTAGGAATTGCTTTCGAAAGAAGAAACTCTCAAAGGCGCTCCAAATTTTGCCGATTTACAGGAGAAACACGAGTCATTCACGTAAGTTTTCAGATTTCGAAACGAAATATTTGTTGTTTAGAAAAATTAAGTCCAAGTTTGAGTTGTCCGCTGAGAATTACTTGCCTCATTTGCGCAGATTCGATGGTGAAGTCAAGGTGAGTTGATTGGGGTTTTAAAAGAATTTAATTTAATTTGTTTAGCAATTGATTCAAACCCTCAACGAGACACCTGATGCCTAGGAAATCCGAATACAAGATTATATGGAAAACTTCTAATTAATAATTGTTTTGATGCATTTTGCGAATAAACCGAATAAAGAATATTTATTGAGGCAGATTTCCATCTCAACCATAAATCCCCATTCAAAATGTTCGAATTCCAGCGAAGAGTCAACTATTCTTCCTAAAATCCGAGTTTAGCTGATGGCAATAAACTTACTGATCGTTATCATTGGAACCCATCAGCTGTCAACTATTTACAAAGGCTCACAATGCAATTAAACGTATCTAGGCATCTCCGAATTTCGATCCATCACTCCGCACTTCAATCCGAGAAGCTAGTCGGGTTTCTGTACAAGAAAGCCATTGCAATCATGGGTCGCTCAATTTTTGCGTTGGTCAGCGTGGTCTTCACCAGTTCGCCCTACAAAGAGATTTGCGTTGAGAGCTTTTTAGAAAAACAAAAAACTATTCTCATTTCACAAAACTAGACAATAACGTTTCTATTCTTAAATCACCTCATTATGAAAGCGCGAAATAAGCTACTCGAAAATAGATCTGTGTTGAAGGAAGTGAACTACTGTCGAGATGCAGAACTACTTCTTGTTGATTTATTTTCTCCAGGTTTCTTTTTCAAACACCGATTCAAATTTCGAAAGTTGGGAGGCTAGACAAAGCTGACTGTCACACTTTTGACCAGAAATTAATGATTAGTTGATTTATCGGCTGTTAAACACATTGATTGGACTATTGCAGTGGTAGAAAAAAGTATTGGTCGGCCAATGTTTGCTCATTTTTCTCCCATTAGATCGGACTCAAAACAGGCTATGTAGTTGATTATTATCTTTCACTTAACTTATAATAATAGCCTTTACATTCCATGATATCAGTCTGTTGAACCAGTTCCAGTTCATCACCAAATATGTGCAAGAAATATTGAAAAAACGCTTCGATTTCAAAGATAAAATTTGACTTGAAGAGTTTCTTGATTCAAATTTCAACACACCTAAAGTTATACCTCATTATAAGAAAAGTTTTTACCGAGAAAACTCATCTCCATTTCAAGAGTTTAAATCTATATGAGCGATAAGATTACAAGGAAACAAGTCGATCAATTTGTAATACCTAACTAGCGAAATACCCAAAATAGATTTCATTACTAGTAACCAGGGGATTTCCAGCTTTTGCCTCATAAATCCCCTCGTTTTCCCCAATCAATTTGCTTATTGAAAATTTATGTGAAGATTAGCATAATTCTTTCGAACGAATAATGTGGTACAAACAATACACAAGCACTGCTTCTAGCACCACCGAGTTACCAAGTTTCCAAGTTTACCACCGCGTTTCAAAACGTGACCTAGCTGATTTTGTAGCAAATTTTTTGTTGATTCCGAATATCTAGATCGTTTGTGAGTAATGGGTTCAAATTTTCGATTTAAATCCGTTTGAAGTTTGTTTGTGTAGAAAAAACAGTTTTTGCGCTTGCGCTAATTATTTGACTGCGCGAGTATCAAGCTCTGCGTTTGCGCTCACCGAAGCTCTTGGCCAGTGGCGGAGACTTTCACTCTATCATTAAAGGTGGTTTAAAAAGACTCGTGAAGCGAAATCTTGAGAGCAAACAGACAAACAGACATTTACCAACATAAATATCAAATCTTCTCCCGAAAGTAGTTACTTTTAGTAGTTGTAAAGTTTTCTTCATGCGTGTCACCACTTCGGTGGCTTCGACATCAAAATGTCCAACTGATGGGAAATGCTTGATCAACCACGTTGCTGCAGGTGATTCAAATCATGTTTTTAACTTGCAAACGTTTTGAATACCTGTTTTTTCACGAAAGTATAATTTTGGTTAGCTATTGCTGTACAATCCCAAAGCTTAATTATGGGTTAGAGCTTTGAGCTTTAAAATTGATAAAAGCTAAATCGTAACCAGCTCTTTTCTAACCGTTAGCTTGAAAAAAATAGTTTATTTACTTATTCAGATGATCGCCAATTCCATCTTCAACCTGACAACGACAATCGTTTGTTTGCGCCGACATTTTGCATTGTTTTTCGGACGCAAGACACTCATTTTGCTTCAAGAATTTTTCAAGCTAGTTCAAGTCGTTTGTTTCAATCTGTTATCAAGGTAAAAGCTTTCTATTGCATTAATTATAGTATTTGTCAGTACAATCACCATATTTTGCCTATCAGCCTTAAAAAGCCAAAGGAAAGACGGCGTGGGGCGACTATTGTTATCTCTTCGACGATTCAGCAGTCTTGAATTCGATACATTGGTACTTAATTTTGAATTTTATCCATTCTAATAAAGGAAACGATCTCTCATCAACACACTTTATCAGAAATTCTACTCAATTCTCTCATCAATGGCAATACATTTACGTTCATATCTTGAATTGATTTGCCCACTTATCTCCACAATCATTCCACTCAAACTCTAGACAATGTCTCGTGATTGGATCATAGTAGCAGCACTGATCGTGATCCGGTTCAGTCTCTGGGCGTCGGTCAGGGTATGGGGTATCCGACTCCCCAATTTCGATGTAAACCCAAGCGCATGTAGATGCCTGATTACCGTGGATTGGTCAACCTTAAGGTGCTCTGCTAATTCGCATGAAGTACCGTATTCTCTCTAATAGTAGTGCACCCCACCAAGCCGAGTTGATGACTATTTTACGGTTTCCAAGCTTTCGCAGAAGCTCAACACTCTAATCCCCCACAAGATCTCATCGTCAGCTACATTTTCCGACCCCACATCGATAGGTTCTGATAAGCGGTTTTCGAGATTTCGAACAATTTAGGCAACGCTCAGGGTGCACTACTATTAGAGAGAATACGGTAAGCCGTTTGTCGTTTTGAAGAAGTGCCAGGAGGCTGAATAGGCCGAATTCAATAGTTCGGGGCGTGACCGGCTTCAATCTTATTATTGGGGACGATTTTGTTTCAGAAGCCGAATAGAATAAAAGGTTAAACGGGTTTCCCGAAAACGCTCACAATATAACAACAAGAACAATTCTTTCTATAATATTAAACCTACTATCTAAACAGAATTTGGAACCTTAAGGATAGTTTAAAGATTAAATTTATAATTTTACGGTTTATTAATACAGGGTGCTCAGTATTTACGGCGACTTCTTTTGGTTGATTAGCTCCTAAGCATCAACTTCAACCCTAATGTGTTAAGTGTTATAAAAATATTGAAGCCCTTAATCTTGGCCATATTTATCTATTAAAAGTTTCCCGATTGAAGATCTACAACTCATTTTATAAGCCTTCGGATGAGTACTTGCGCCTTTGTTGTTTATGAATGAAACTTTGGTCATCCAAACGGATATTTAAAGACTGATTTGTGAACATTATTCCATCTAGCATAAAATTTTCTAAAATTGATCTAAATTTGGACCAGAGCAAAATAGCAGACGGTTTGCGAGTCAAAATGCTTTGAAAGATCAAAATAGACCTACTTTGCCGACTCAAAATAGCTCAAGTGCTGAATGGCCAAGTTTGTTGTTGGCCAAGTTTATTCTAACAAACTAAAATTAAAATTGTGCATCACAATTGAACATCATTACAATGTAAATGAAGATAAATGAGTCTTGCGGTTAGAATTCATTCATGTAACATTCATTTCTTGCTTTTTACAGTAGTTTGCGGTGAGGATGATGTCGTTTGAACACTTGAATTGGTCGACAGTTCCATTGGTGGATTGGTTGATGCATCGATGGTTGAAGGGAAAGTTGTTGGCGGTTCACTGCCCAGAGTCATTTCTGCTCCATGGCACAAAGTGATGCAATCGTGCAATTCATCGAAATTGTTCGCATTTCCTCCACAACCAGTGTAGAACAATTTCAGACACAATTGCCGTTCTTTGTTGTAGTAGAAGTGGGTGATGTTGGCACTGAAAAGAGAAACTAAATACTCTATTTTATGTCCGTTTTCTAGAAATATTATTTTGATGCCAAACACAAGTCAGGCAACAAGCACGAAAGCTCAATAATGGTTATTCCAGGAGTCACTTCTGTGGACCAAGCCTGTCAGGGCCAGATCAAAAGCCAGGTCCGGCTCTGGGATCTTGCCTATAGCAAGTCAATGAGCCAAACTTTTGCAACTTTTGCTGAAAAAGAATGTTCTACCCTTTCTAACTAAAGAACTGGTTCTACTGTTGTCTCCAACTCACCCACAATCACCGGAATCTCCTGGAAGAAAGCATCTTGCACGAGGATTACCAGGCTAAAAATTATTTTAAGCTGAAGAAGATCAAACTTGTATTTTTGCCGATAAGTCTTTGGAGATTTCATTTAAAAAGCTAGTTAGAAAGAATGAATTCACTGATTCGAGGTTTGCTCCATTAAAAAGGCCTACTATTTTTCTATAAAGAATCGTTGAAATCTTAAGAAATGTTTTTTTTTCTTTTGTTCGGAGTTCGAACGTGGGCAGTTAAAAAGAGCCACGACTCGATGACACGATGACACGATTTAGGCACTTTGGTCTAAAGAAACCTTGGTTGGCGTGAATAAATAAAGAATGAGCACAAAAAGTTAGGTTTGTAGCCAAATTTTCAAAACAATTCGTTCAGCCAATTCCTTTATATCACCTTTTATCGAACTATCGAATTTATCACCTTTTTCTTTTATTGAAAATGATTTTCTGCGCTCGGATTTTCTTGGAAACGGATTTAGATTGGCATAAAAAGATAGAAAAGTGTATAATCAACATCTATTCAGGGAAAACTCTGGGCCAATTGATGAGATTTTCATTTCTAAACAGATTTATAAAATGTCCAAAGACTTCTCGGACAGCCTAATACTATGTGATCATATCCATTGTTTACGGATACTTTAATAGATGTAATAAATCTCAAATCTTTATCAAATCAATGTTACCGCTGGAGCTGGAACACTCACCGTTTCACTCAAAGTCGTTGAAAAAAACAGGAAACAAATGAATAAGAGCATTTCTTAGTTTTTGAATGAAAATTGTATCTTTGTCACTGTTTGATGAACATTTTATTCAGCGCATTCAGTAAAGTAACTGAAAATGCGAAGTTTTTGTGTATTCCTGTATTCAGAATGTGCAGTAAAGCCATGAAAAAGAGAATTCATTCCATTACTATTGTGTATTGTTTGGAAATACTGCCAAACACTGAATTCTTGCATTTACAATCTACCATAAGGTTCAAAATTTAGTTCTTTTCAGATTTTTGAACTTGGGACTCACAAGCATGTTCCTGGATCTTTTAGAAGACTGCACGGCTCTACTGTAAGTGATTTCTGAAACAAACAAGCAAACAATTTGCTGAAGCATACACTTTGAGGCTACAGGATAGTTTAGAAAGTAAACTTGCAGTCACAACATTTACTCAATATTTGATTTCCTTCAATTTAACACAAAAAGATACATTTTTCGAAGCAAAAAAGGAGTTTTTTTCGAAATTGTCACTATTTTAATTGTAAGAAATTTGAAAATTTACCAATGAACACAGAAATTCTTTACTGATTTAATGGTTTTGGCTTCCAAAAATGAGTGACTAAGTTTGGGAATTGGTTCTGCTCAGATAAAACTAGATGCTAAATCAACAAGAATCACTTTACACCGATTCCGAGGCTCACAGAACAACGCAGCAAAAAGCAAGCAACAAAGAAATGTGTAATTTCAATGGATTGTGAGACGTTTGATCCGCGCCCTGCCCCTTCTGCCATTGGCAATCTAACCTTGAGCTCAAATACCTTGGTGTTGAGCTGTCCAATTTTAATAGTTTTTTGTACTAGTCGACAGAGAAAGACTAGGAGCATCCAATGCTACCAAGAATATTTAAATTGGACAGAGCAACACTAAGATATTTGAGTTCGAAATTAGATTGCCAATGGCAAAGGGTCCGATAACCATTTCAATGCAGTAGGGGATGATCATGGCGTAGTTTCTGAATCCGGTGGAAAAGCGGGGTTTATTGATGAAAAGTGGTTCAAAATTGGGATTTTTTGCAGAAAGACTCCGCAAACAGGCTTTACATGTCTTAAAATGGGAAACTAATGATGAAAAGGAGCACAAATTGCATGATCCGAAATTGGGATCCGATAATCACAGCTTGTCGTTGGCATCTAGGCATCCCCACTGATCCGACTCGTTCGGAGCTAGAGGACTAACATTTGTGGCTTGCAAAGCAGTGTGACTGATCCCAAAAGCACAAAGTCTATCAATTTCGAAACAATACATTGTATCAAATTTGCATTTTTGGGTGATGGCAATAGGCATAGAGTTGTTTATTAATCCATCACACTATCCATACGAATAACCAGGGTAGTAGGTGTATCGGTAGTTCCACGATTCGATGATGTCATTTGTTGGCAATCTATTGTCACACGGCGAATATGGGGTGTTGATTCGCATTCGATGTTCGAAATAGCCCAAATTCGTGCAGTAACATCGGTAACCCGGCTCTCTATTTTGATTGTAGCCAAGCCAGCTGATAACTGGAAATTGTTTCGATAGCATTTAGGAATTTTTTAACTGTAATTACTATTTATATATTTATATACCGTAAATATTGCAATTGAAGCCTCGGGGCTTCTATTTTATAAAAAAACTGAGAGTTCATTCATTGTTGTTTTATTTATGTAGAAAGCTTTAATAAAAAAAAATCGAAAACTTTTGGTTCACCCTAATTTTAAAGGGGGTTCGATTACAGTATTTACGGTATTTATTTATATTTAAAATGGCATATAAAAGCTTTTTTGTCTATAATCATTATTATACGCCTATAACATGCGTTCACTTATCTTGTCAACTCACCCTGGCATTGTCCAAGCGGTTGACCTAAGTTGAAATATCGATATTGGGTTGGTGTGACGCCAGTGTATCCATAACCACCGTATCTATTATACCCATTGTATCCACTGTAGCCACCTGAACAAAGAAATCGGATCAATTGGATCTTCTGATCGAAAAACCATGTTTACCATATCGTCGATGTCCAAAGAGTCCTCCGAAACCAACGTTTGACGAAATCGATAGACCCCATCGACCTAAGACGTTGAACTGATTTGATTGTTGATCACTTTTTCGTAAATCTATTTGTAATTGTAAAATAAAAAACAGATAGACCGTGAGATTTCTTGCTCTGTTAGATTGTTTCAAGTTGTTACAAATTGTTGGATTAGACTTCTTTACTCACTGAATCACGACAGTGACAAGATTTTGAATTCAGTTTTAAAATGAGAGAACTCACCAAACAAGGGAACGAACACGGTCTCATCACCATTAGCTGAAAACAAACGACATTTGGAGTCTCATTTCCATTTATTGGAAAGTCTAGCAAAGCTTTTTCTATAGCAAAGTTGATCAAAATTAATTTTACACTCATAAAACTCACAACTTGGAATGTGATAAGCGATTCGTTTCACTCTTTTTTCATCATTCTCAACTTTTTGAGTTGAATCCAATGATTGGCGTTCATTTGTCGATTTTGTTTCCACTAAAATCCATTACTTTAATTTAAATTCAACAAAAAAAACTTACGAGAAATACAAAATACTGCAAAAAGATAAACAAGTGCCAGGGTTTTCATTGACTAACGTTTTAGATGTTATCGGAAAGGAATTTCCAAATTTTATACCCTCCTCAAATCAACATCGGAGTTCACGTTTCCATCAAACGAACGAAGTTAGTCAAATGGAATGAAGCCAAAGCGCTGGATCACAGAAATGCTCTCTGTTTTCTTGTGATCATCGAGTGATTGACCTTGAACTCGGTTTGGGCTCTGACCGATCGAACAAATAAACAAAAACGAATAAAACAAAAGATCAGAAAATATTTATCGCATTTATCGCAACATTTATAACATTTGTATTGTTGTTCTTTGATTTTTTTTTCGTACTGTTTTTGATGTTTAAAGATGTATTTATTGTTTCATAACCGCCAAAATATCTCTTCGGATAGCGAGCCGCGAACATTTCCACAATTTGTGAGCACAATTGATGAGTAGTGTCGATTCATTTTTTCACCCAAACTCTGGAAAATCGTTTTAAACTCATGCTTGATATTGAATAGGGATTAACTCAAGTACCATCGACAAAAAATAGCATCTGGCTAATTATGTTTTCACCTGCATACATCTGGGTATCATCATCAGATCGTTGAACGTTGCGATCACTTGATTTTCATCGTTGTATTTCGACTTGAGATGCTACACTATTTAAAACTATTTAAATTGGACAGCCCAACACCAAGAAATTTGAGCTTAAAATTGGATTGCCAATGGAAAAAGGCGCGGGACGCGTATCGCCTCGCGCCTTTTGCTCCGCCCCCTTTGCCATCAAACTTTGAGCTCACATATATCTTGGTGTTGAGGTGTCCAATTTAAATATTCTTGATATCATTGGATGCGCCTAGTCTTTCTCTGTCGACTAGTACAAACTATTTAAATTGGACAGCTCAGCACCAAGATATTTGAGCTCAAAGTTAGATTGCCAATGGCAAAAGGGGCGGGGCGCTTATCAAATGTCCGATAACCCTTCCCAAGTCAACAAACTCAATCACACCTCGAGCAAAACATTTGCGTACTTCTTGAAGGCTTTACGAATGATTTCCACACTGTTTTCCTTGTAGTCGAGATCTGCAATCTGTAAATTTAGAAAAAAAAGCGAACCACCCAACAACCTGAACTAAACAACACAATATTCTTGATCAACACATACTCCTCGTCTCCCATTTGAGTTCTTTTCATTAAAGGGATCACGACATTCATTCCACAATCAAATTGATAGGAATAAGTTTCTTTGGCACTGAAATTTGACAAATTACTTACTCAATTACTCAGTAATAACTAACTCTTCGAAATGCAACATTTCGGCTAGCTTCACCCTAATTCCAAAAGCTGTTATAAGTCCCTCATCGAATTTGTTCTTATACGTTGTGTAGTAGTTTTGAAATTGAACAAACATTGTCATTTTCCGAGCAAAGAACTTTATCTGAAAATTATTGTTTGAAACACTGAGTCTAATCTTTTATTTTCGCTATTAAAAACGTTATCGAATCGAGAGTCTGATCAGTTTCCCGTCTTTCCCGATTACCACTAGTTCCTCGCAAAAAGTCATCTGGCAAACATTATTGTTTATAATCAAAGTCATAAGCTGGTTTATAGAGATTAACAATTTTCGATCTACCTGATCCTCTTCATCTAAATCGAGAAACTCCGGCGTTGAGCGACACCAATCGGCAAAAGCGACCAAAAGGCGAACGAAGACCCGAACGAGCATTTCATTTGCACAATGCGCCGGAATTAGCGGATTTGATGGGCTTTGAATTCCTAGCTGAAATTGCGAAATGCTTTTCTAGTCACTAAAAAGAGCCTACAAGAAAAAGGCACCGAGTCAAGTTGGCTTTTGACTTTTGACTCGAGACCAAGCCCATCTTATAGAGTCGGCCATGGGATCACGAATTCGTTTTTAGTTTTTGCAGAGCGCTTCGCAAACGCTAAATATTTGGCATAGAAAATCACATTGAATCTCGAGCTCCTTATCAGGCCGTCACACGCTTCCTTTAAATGTCGGACTTCTTAAGAAGCTGTCACACGCTCCCGCTTTCTGTAGCTTCAATAATTTAAAAAGGCAACCTGCAAAATGCAAAGGGATGCAAAGGTTTAGCAAAATGCAAACGATTGCAAAAGGTTTTGCAAAAGACAAAGGGTTTGGGTTCAGTCGGTCAGTGATATTCGCTGGAAACTTTTGCAACCCTTTGCATTTTGCTAAACCTTTGCATCTCTTTGTCCCTTTGTCCCTTCGCATTTTGCAGGTTGCCATTTACAAAAGCTGAAACCTTCCAAAATACCAGAATTAAGAGATCAGTGTTGGAAAGTTCAAAATTTGTTGCCACATTTCTGAAAGCTATAGGTGCAATAATAGTATTCACTCTATTATTCATTGCAAATACGTAAAGAAATAGTTTTTTAAAAAAGCAAGAAAGTTTGGCGAGAGTGGGATTCGGGGAGGGCAAAAAAACGTAATAGATTCGGAAGCAGTGGTTAGGGGAGCGTATGACAGCTTCTTAAGGAGTCTGAAAGTTAGATCTCAGTGGCAAGTTTGCTTAAACAATCGTTTGCGAAGCGTTCTACAAAAACTAAAAACGGATTGGAGCTCCCCATGGTCGATTCTATAAGATGGACGAGTCAAAAGGCCAGTTTGACTCGGTGCTTTTCCCTTATTGATCATTTTTTTGTAAATAGTAAAACGAGATGGAATTGGCTAACTACAAGACGTTTAACTGTGGTAGTTTCTGAGGGACTTAAGGGACTCAATTGCAGATCAAAGTGGCCAATGATCAAGTAATTTCAATGAAAGCTTTGAATTGACAACTTTAGAATAATATGTTAAACTTACTATTAAAGCCGATTTTAAGAGTACATCACTCACCGGTACACGCGGGCATACAATAGCCGGGTTTTTAAGAAAATTCCCTATTGAACAATCAAGTGAAAATGGAAAGTCGACGGTCATCGATTGACTCAAATCATCATTTGCCAATAAACTAGAACAAATATTGTTTGACTTATTAAAACAAACAACTTGTGTAGATTTATAAAGTTTTTGATCATGTTTTTCGAGTCTCCGCTATGTGAGATGAGTGGAGACGAGAAGCAAACGGATTGAAGCCTCAACTCTTTCTAAAGTTTTCTATCGATTAACACAAATTTTCTGAAACTGACTAAATCGATAGCTGGCTCAACGACCATTGTCGAAAGAGGGAGTTGGGGAAGACGAGGCTCTTTCTGAAACAATTGTTGACTTAAATTAGATACTTTAGCAGCTATATTGAACCTAGCTACAGCTATCTATACCTGTTCTCTCAAACTCTCTTCAAATACTACAATTGGTTTGTTATAACTGTGTTATAACTTACCTCAGCCACAGCTAAAAGTGTTTCTTTCAAACAATTCATCAGTTTATCGTGTCTCGGTCTTCCACGAGGTTTCAGACCGATTTGGGCTCGTTTCTCGCGTAGTTGGCAACCTTTTCGACGTGCCGTTACTGAAAATAAATCTTTCTTTGAAAAAAAGTCAGGTTTTTCAATGAGTTATCGTACTTTGAAGGGCATAACCTATAAAAAATAAAGGATAGGATTGTAGTAATAAAGTAAAGTAAGGAATGGTAAAGAAAGATTTCCGGAGAGGGATTGAACCTTCGACCTTTTGCTTTCCAGATGCTCTAACCACTGGCTATCCGATATAGTAAGTTATATGCCTTCTAACTAGGGAAAGGTACCAAGAGGATGGTTTTAACATGTGACTATATGCAACTTGTAGACAATAAATCCAGCGTTTTAATCCCCATGTCGAACTCTACAAGTTGCATATGGACACAAGCCAAAGGCCTACATCCTCTTGATGCCTTTCCCTAGTAAGTATGACAACTAATTCAAGAATCCAGTTCACTACTAGGTGCACACCAATGAAAGGTATGTTTTTATTTTTGACCAAGTTTGAAGGTCCACATCTCAGTGAATATTCAACCAAATTCCAATCTCTTTACTTTATTTTGTTCCTCTAACATTCTTCTACAACTTTTATAATAAGCTTATCATGTGAAAATGCCTAGAAACTTTTTGAGTCTAAGTTAGATCTTCAAAAAAGTAACGATTTTTCGAAAAACTTAGCTTTCAGGAATTCTGAGCGGGGTGTTAAAGAAAAAAAAACAAAAAAGAGAATGAAATTTGGTTAAATATTCACTGCGATATCGCCTTTCAAACTTGGTCAAAAATAAAAATGTACGCTTCATAGTGAAATCCATTCTCTAACCAACATTCCGGACTCATCCCGACCATCAAACACTTCCTGTAGCGACAACTAATACATCTCGTCTTTCCTGAAATGTTTGCAAGTTAAAAAATGATTTGAATCACCTGCAACAATGTGATTGATCAAGCACTTCCCATCAGTTGGACATTTTGATGTCGAAGCCACCGAAGTGGTGGCACGCATGAAGAAAACTTTACAACTACTAAAAGTAACTTTAGGGAGAAGATTTGATATTTATGTTGGTAAATGTTTGTTTGTCTGTTTGCCCTCAAGAATTCGCTTCACGAGTCTTTTTAAATCACCTTTAATGAGAGAGTGAAAGTCTCCGCCATGGCCGACTGGCTAAGAGCTTCGGTGAGCGCAAACGCAGAGCTTGATACTCGCGCAATCAGATAATTGGCGCAAACGCAAAAACTGTTTTTTCTAGACAAACAAACTTCAAACGGATTTCAATCAAAAATTTGAACCCATTACTCACAAACGATCTAGATATTCGGAATCAACGAAAAATTTGCTACAAAATAGCCTAGGTCGCACTTTGAAGCTCGGTGGTAAACTTGGAAACTTGGTAACTTGGTCGTGCTAGGGACAGTGCTTGTGTATTGTTTGTATCATATTATTCGTGTAAATTTATATATTTTTAAATCTAGCTAGGATCAAAGAGATGAAGAACAATCAGATTTCACTTTTTCATCAGATTCAACAACTTTTTTTTGTTTTTCTCAATAAATTTTAAAATTTAAAGGATCTGACTGCTATTTGAGGGCAAATGCGAAAGAATTATGCTAATCTTCACATAAATTTTAAATAAAAAAAATGAGTGCAAAAAACGAGGGGATTTATGAGGCAAAAACTGGAAATCCCCTGGTTACTAGTAATAAATCTATTTCGGGTATTTCGCTAGTTAGGTATTACAAATTGATCGACTTGTTTCCTTGTAATCTTATCGCTCATATAGATTTAAATCTAGGTTTTTCTTGAAACACTCACGCACACGCAATCGACCCATAAACTTTTGATGCCGGTATTTTCCCACAAACATGACATTTCTCGGCTATCGAAGCCGTCAGATCGACGATTTCCTCTTCGGCGATTTCTTTAATATCCATTTTTCGTAACTAAAATGTTTAAATGTTTTAAAATAAAGTATTTTTTTTTTTTTGAAATGTTGATCAAAAATTATAAACAAATACAACAAAAAATGCCAAGATTAAAGTGAAAATTGAAAAAGTCAAAATCTAGAATCAATGAGTTTGTTAATCAAAAGAATTGTACGAAATGGAAATTATATGAAATGAAAATTGTGTTCTTTTCCAATCGAAAATCCCCACTAATATTAGAGAACAAAAAGTTTTTCAAAGGTAGAGAAAAACAGAGAAAAGAACTTGGGTGGAGGGTGAGAAATCACAAAATAGACCAGAAAAGAAAAGCTGAGGAGAGAAAGAATTGATTTGTTTCTTGAAATCGAGATGAGTTTTCTCGGTAAAAACTTTCCTTATCATGAGGTATAACTTTAGATGTGTTGAAATTTGAATCAAGAAACTCTTCAGTCAAGTTTTATCTTTAAACTCGAAGCGTTTTGTCAATATTTCTTGCACATATTTGGTGATGAACTGGAACTGGTTCAATAGACTGATATCATGGAATGTAAAGGTTATTATTATAAGTTAAGTGAAAGATAATGCTCAATTACATAGCCAGTTTTGAGTGCGATCTAATGAAAGAAAAATGAGCAAACATTGGCAGGCCACTACTTTTTTCCACCACTGTAATCAATGTGTTTAACACCCGATAAATCAACAGCTATTGAGTCTCACTAATCATTAGCTTCTAGTCAAAAATGTGACAGTCAGCTTTGCCTAGCCTGCCAACTTTCGAAATTTGAATCGGTGTTTGAAAAAGAAACCTGGAGAAAAGAAATCAACGAGAAGTAGTTCTGCATCTCGATCACTTTCTTCGCCACAGATTTATTTTCAAGAAGTCTTTTTCGCGCTTTTTATAATGACGTGACGATTAATTGCATTATGAGCCTTTGTAAATAGTTGACAGCTGACGGGTTCCAATAATAACGATCAGTAAGCTTATTGCCATCAGCTAAACTCGGATTTCAGGAAGAATAGTTGACTCTTCGCTGGAATTCGAACATTTTGAATGGAGATTTATGGTTGAGATGGAAATCTGCCTCAATATTTATGCTTTATTCGGCACTTTATTCGCAAAATACATCAAAATGATTCTTAATTAGAAGTTTTCCATATAATCTTGTATTCGGACTTCCTAGGCATCAGGGGTCTCGTTGAGGGTTTGAATCAATTGCTAAACCAATTAAATTAAATTCTTATAAAACTCCAATTAACTCACCTTGACTTCAGCATCGAATCTGCGCAAATGAGGCAAGTACTTCTCAGCAGATGACTCAAACTTGGACTTAATTTTTCTAAACAACAAATATTTCGTTTCGAAATCTGAAAACTTACGTGAATGACTTGTGTTTCTCCCGTAACTCGGCCAAATTTGGAGCGTCCTTGAGAATTTCTTCTTTCGAAAGCAATTTCTAAAGAAATATCGACTTCAATAGGTTTTCTTGATAAAAATGCCGTTTCAAAGATGTCAATGCCCTCAAGAAGGTCCTTGTGTAGTCCAGGAACCAAATCCTTGTACGTCTTGATGACATTTCTTGACTCTTGTTGAAGTTCCGTCAACATTTGATCAGCCTAAACACATGAAATCAATACGGCACGACTTTCAATTTCAAACTAACAATGAAGTGCAAAAGATACCTGTTTTTCCAATAGAGGAATGGCTTCATGCGAACGATGTTTCACGTAAGCACAAGCCCCACAAATCTAAAAATACAAAAGGGTTTAATCAATATTAACAATAGCTTACTTCAAAACCACACTCACGGCAATAAAACATTTCGTCGACAATATTCTAAAATACTTCTATAGAAATCAATTTAAGTAGACATACCTTTTTGTGGCATTCGTTGCAGCTACGTGCATCCTTAGCATTCATTAAAGCTGCCTCAATTATTTCCATTTGTCGAGTCATTTCGGGCAGCTCATTTAGAAAGTCTAAAGAAAAAAAAATTGGTGAATGTAAAAAGAATTCATCTACCATGAAATTGATCTTTCTGTTTGTTGACAACAATGCACGTAACATTGCGACAAGTTGGACAAGTGTTTTGATAGTTATTTGGATAATACTCCTGACGTGTCTTCAAAAAGCATTGCGTGCAAATGATATGCCCACATTGAAGAGCAAACGATTTCTTTTTCTCAATTTCATTTGAATCTAAAGCAAAAATTTTTAAAGCAAGTCATCAAACTCACATTCATCCTGACAAATTAGACATTCCGGAATTTTGAAAGGCTAAAAGAATCACTATGATTTGTAAATCCCAAATCCAACCTTCACAAGCAAATATCCCTTTGGAGTAAAGACCAATGAGTTTTCTTGTGACAAAACGTCTAAAACAATTCGATTGATTAATCAGCTTTTACTCAAAACAAAAATAGAATAAAACTCACCAATTAAAAAGTAGGCAAAGTTTCTGTGGTTGAAACAGGCACTATTTCCACATTGATGCTTTCTCTTTTCTGGTCCCAACCTCCACTCTTTCTCGAAACATTCATTGCACATGGCCAACCCACAATACAAATGTCGTGGAGATCGATCTTGATTAGCAACTCGAGCAACTGAAAGATTGGCAAATCAAACAAAAACCACTTTATTTACGCTTTAAAATCTAGATTATTTCGAAATCCATAACTGAAAAGCAAAAACTTACACGGTTGCTTGCAGACAATGCAGTTGAGCGATTCAAACACATTCATTTCCTAAAAATAAAGCATTAGAATTATTGAACAATCAACAAAATAATGAACGCATGAAAGAAATCGAATCAAGAGTTTATGTGTTGAGGGTGGTAAAATTGAGAGAATATTTTTAACTCTACCCAAACTTTTAACGAACTTTTAGATGCTTGGGAGCCAAAGCTGTGTTTTTCCAAAATAATATAAACATGGGTCTTTTTGAAGACTTTTTGAAAGCGACTGCTCGAAAGTTAACCGCCTTCTCTCTCTTTTCATATTTGCTGTATATGTTGAGATCAAAGTCTAAACCATAAGATTTTCAGAGACCGTAAAAGGTTTAATAGAAGAACCTATAGGAGCGTCCCGTCGTCTAAGTTTACTTTCAAACAAACGCTCATATCTCGACACCGGTACGTTTGTTTCTGCGCGCTTGGGTATCAAATTAAAGTAGAGAGGATGCAGGACAAAAGTGACAAAAAACGATTTTTCATAATTTTTCAATCATTTTGTTCTAAGCGCTGGTTAATGCTAAAAATATGTGTTATATTGCAAAAAAATCACCCATCCTCTCTGCTTTAATTTGATACCCAAGCGCGCAGAAACAAACGTACTGGTGTCGAGATATGAGCGTTTTTTGCGAGTAAACTCAGACTACGCGACGCTCCTATAGGGGGTTTTACTATTAAAGCTTTTACGGTAAGACTGAAGGTAAGACTTTCTTGATTGACTGAATATTTAGCCCTATTTTTGATTCTTACGTCATTTTTGGACACATCAATGTTTTTTTCCTTTGCTCATTGCTCATTTATTGTGATTTTTACTCTACTCCTAAGTTCTTTTATCAGTGTGCATAAGAAATCTCATGATGCATATCATAAACAAGTGTTTGAAAAATAGGTGCCCTTAGTTCATTTAATGTGATCGTCTCAAATGGGGCTCCATAAATGTTAGAAAGATTGGCTTGGTGGTACTGAAATAACTTGGCTTGTTATGAGTCTTATTTTGTAACAAATTTGCAAATTAATAATTGTAAAGCTCAGGTTCTTTTACGAATTTTCTATTTCCCTCTACCTAAATGCGGTTGTTTGATCCGAAAAGCGATGAAAAACACTCCATCGCCCTTCTGTTGGATTGGAACATAAGTATTGATTACCTGTTCGAAGCTCAATTTCTCAAAAATCAAGCAAATAAGCTCAATTTCATTATTTTCTAATAGATTTAGAAAAATTATTGATAGAAAATGAGGACAACTTGTTTGAAAAGCTTGTAGTGTTTAGTGTTATGACGATTAATTTTATGATGGAATTGACAGATTAGCAGACGGAATGATTTATACCAGTATCATGTTATTAATAGCAGAAGAACGAAAGAAAACATTCAATTGTAAGTGATTTTATCATGTGGAATATGGCCGAGATCTCCAAAACCATTGAGTGCCACAGTGCCATCCGGGTAAACGATCAACGAAGCGAGCGAACAATTGGCAAGAGATAATCGAAGCCATCCTTCGACGGGGAATTGAAGGGCACTAAAATTAGGAAGTCTTCGAGTTGATTTTGGTGTATTTTGTCAGTGATATTTCACAGAATATTTCCTGTTCGACAACTTTAACATGTTACAAAAGTCACTTTGGGAAGATGCATGTATTCAACTTTTAATAATGTAAACCAGCTCTGACTGTGGGACATTTGATGCCCCGCCCCCCTTTGGCAATCTTGCTGTTGGGCTGTCCAATTTAAATAGTTTTTGTACCAATCGATAAGAGGAGACTTGGCGCATCTAATGATCCAAAACTTTAAATTGAACACCGCAACACCAAGATATTTGAGCTCAAAGTTAGATTGCCAATGGCAAAAGGAGTGGGGTGTGTATCAAATGTCCGATAACCACCAGCTTTTAGAGAAAGTTTGAGAGAAACCAGAAAGAAATAAAATGGATTCAGTATCTCAATTATTAGTGATTGTTTGATCATAGGACTCAATAGGTAACACTTTTTTATTCCAAGAAAAGAACCAACCGGCAGACAAAATAGCGAATGACGTTCCCGTGGCATACGATGATCTGCAATTGTTTTTTTATTCAAAAATCTAGTTTACGTTTTTCATGTCCTCGTAATGCTCTTTTCAAAGTCCACCTCATTGCTGTTCTCGGCTTGTTCGGGCGGTGCACGGTGAATGTACTTGCGGAAAGCGGCCTCGATTCGTGAGCCTTCACGATAGAAATGCTTGAAAATCATTTTGTTCTACTTTCTTGTTTTCATATCTCACTTGCATATCAGGCTTCCATGTGAGATGCGACGGTTCAGGTGGATAGGGGGCGCCCTCCTCCAGCAGCGAGTCGCTTGACCTTGGCAAGCTTTCGGGCAACTAAACGAGAACTTGTTTAGGTAAGTGTTATTGCAAAAAATATACTTTGAGCTTTGTAATTTCTTGTGAGCCCGCGTCTCATTGTGGTTCAATGGTAGATGCCTTGAAAACGCACCAACGCACCAACAAAGTTTTTCCATATTAGTGCAAACTTTGTTCAAAGTGAAGGAACTTGGCACTATCACAACTATTTAACACTTGAAAAGTGAAAATTGCAAAGTGAAAAGCCTTATTTTCAGCAGTTTAACTTTATTGCAGTAAATAAAAGCAAAAATAGCGATAAAAGGCTTTCTCCGTAGATTCGGGGATATCCAAAAGCCTTATCGACCACAGTTTTCGTATTTGACAAAGTTTCATTCAATAGTCTTTCTAATAGTTTACATTCACGACAAGTCTAACGAATAAAAAAACGAATAGAATTGAACACAAACCTTTGTGAGGATGATATTCGCCGTTTCGGTGGCTCGATTCATCGTTGACATGGTCAGTTTTGTGAACTGAAAACGAGCACTAAAAGAAATTTTCGCAAACCGAATTTCACCTTTAAACCACTGGCAGCTAAACGTTCTCCAATAAGGGCGGCTTGCTCTTGCCCTGAAATAAACCTTGAATTTAGCAAATCAACAAGAAAATCTACAGCTTAACCTGACTTTTTAAAGAACTTGCAGACTCAAATTTCAATATTTAAAGGCTCATATTCTTTTCATAGGATCAATGCCAATTTTTCTTCTCATGACGACAAAATCCGAACCAAGTTCAGTCAACCATCGATCCTTTGAGTCGATTACATATTGTCCATGTCGAATCAGAATGATGTTTCGTCTCTTTGTCGGAATCTTTTCTTTGAAGTCACTAGTTGAATTCTCAGTGTCGCTGTTTGTGACTGGTTCTCGTCTAAAAGCCAAAATATTGTTCGAAAACCATTTTAATGAAGAGCTTTGGGGTTTTTGAAAGGAAAACTCACAAATCCCAATTGGAGTTCCACTTTTGGCGAGGGAAAACCTCGTGGGAAGGGGTGCCGGCAAGACTGAAAAGTATGATATTTCAAATGTTACAGTCAAGTTTTAGAAAACGTTTTTGCTAGAAATCATATAGAATCAATCTTTTAGAAAAATTTTAAAAAAACTAACTTTTCCCCGTAGTCAGACTCTTTTGTGTAGCAATGAGCGGCACCGATCAATCCCGTTAACGGCAAGACTCGTCGGAGTAGGTACATTCACTGAAATGTGTGATGTTAGAAAAGCAATAGAAATAAAAAGAAATATGAAAGAAAAGTTTATCACTGAACATCAAAAATTGGTCCATACAAGGGACAATTAAAACTGTAAGTGCCAAGAGCAATGTCACAGATAAGAAATGTAAATTGAGAAATTTCGGCGGGAATTCGGGCTATTTTTAATGAAGTTTTGAGTTATTTTTAATGAAGAGCTGGCTTTTAAAAGCTCACGATCATTACGGAAACAAAAAAATGAAAATTACATTTTGGAGAGAAAATTAGTAGTGTAAAGAGATTTTGAATGAAGAGGACAAACGAAAGTTTTGCTGTAAACATTAACTTCTTTTAGTTTTTGAAGATGAAGATGATAGATGAAGATCTAGATTTCACTGATTCATTAATCGGAGTCTTTGAGAATGTGAATGCTGTTGGGAAAAATGGGTTCACTCGAATGGACTTCTGCTTCAATATCAGGCATAAGATAAAGGTTCTTCGTCTTCTAGTTTTTAAATCAAAAAAGTTTAGAAAAGAAAATGCGTAACATTTCGAATTGTAATAGCATTCAATTTGAGTGGCTTTATCAATTGATTATACGGTTTTTGCAAACGGAAATGGCGCGAATGGAAACATTTTTTTTGATAAACTGAAAGAAGGAAAAGAACAGCAAGGAAAGAAAAGAAATAGATTGAAATTTGTTGATGTTTAATTGAAAAACAATGGCACTTATCGGTTTCTTTGTGGTCAATTTACTTATCAAATGTATCAGCTCAAGCAGCGTGATTGCTTTCCTCTGAAAATCACAGACAGACAAACTTTGTTTTTTAGAATAACTACCAATTCAAAACTTGACTTTTTAGGAAAGCTCTTATTTGATTTGATTTAAAAGTGTTCAATGTTTTAGTTCCTATGGATTTACGGCTTTTTTTGTGAATCATTAGACTTTATTTCCGACTAAAAAAGCTTTCTTTTGTCATCACATAGACATTTTTTAAAAGTATTGTCTCATTTTTTTAAGTAATTTTTCTAAATAGTTGTAATATTTAAAAATAAATAGTAGACAATATTGGCGAGCTATTTGTTGAAATGCCAACAGCGAATCTCCATTGTGTCTGGTTAAATTGTCAAAACTATTTCGGAATCGTCTACAAATGGGACAGTTTGCCGAATTTGTCAGCTAAGCCCAATATGATTCGACGAATGTTTGGGTAACGATACGATGACCATTGTGGGTTTTCTAGTGTAGAGATTTTATCAAAGCCAAGTAAGTCGTAGCGGGGGTTGACCCGTTACGGCTTCTGTCCCAGACTTAACGCTCTCTCAATTTCTATACTTCAATCTTTCAGAATTTCGTTGTGTTTTTTTAAATAATTATATAATTATAAATTTTATTTCGAAAATTCCGCATTCCACAAACACACATTTGATTGGGTAAATATTTAAGAAGCATTCAAGTAGATATTTTACATCATTGTTGTTCTTCCTTTGCAACGCTGACGCTCTTTCTCATCGATCCGACAGTTGCCGATGGTAAAGCGAAAATTGAGGCTTTTCTGTAAATATGAACTCTCTACTTGGCAAATGTTAGAAAGCGTTTAAAATATAATTCATTCGGTAGTGTTAACCCTATTGGTAACTTTGGTATGCCTACTTTTTTATGGTGGCATGCCACTTTTGGTTTGCTCAAGTTTTCTCAAACTTACAAAGGTCCTGGTGTCTTTTTAACGACAATGTTGACGATCTCCATTGCACGTAGTCGGAAAGCCCGGACAAGACCAACGATGATGAGGACATCAAGCACGGGGAACATGCTGGCCATTAGACCGGTGTATGGTCCAAGAAAGGATAGCCCTGAAGAATGACAACATCAATATGTTTCTCTGATCCAACACCGTGACATTAAAATTTTATAACTCACCAAAGAAGCCACCGACGGTCAAAATAACAAAGGGGATGATTTCGGTGATGAGCGTCGAGAAAGCTAAAATTTTTGATAAATCAAAAAGTGACAGGAACCTGAGTGGCCAAAATCTGCACGAGTTGCATTTGAATGTTTCTCGAAGTGCGCGAGCAGACGGACAGTTTGACGAGTCGATGTCTGAGAGCATTTTATTTGAGTTTAAACATAAGAAAAATCTTCTGTAATCATGTCAGCTATGTCAAAAGTGCTCTGATTTAGAAATGACTCCTAGAAGAATGTACACACAAGAAATTTAGATTCAAAAACAAATCGTTTTTTGATTACTTCAAGCCAATCATCGCTTCAAAAACCAACAATTTAAATGTGATGAAGGCATTCATGTTGAAAACCCCACCGGATAGGCACGACAAAACGAAAGCACCAATGCAATCCGGCAATCGCCAACCGGTTGAATCCTAGAGTTACAAAATTTATCCTGTAGCAAAAAAGCTTCTTATCATTTTTTTTGTTTATTCGCATAATTATAGTCCAACCCAATATTGTGGTCCGACGAAGCCGTCATCGGTGAGATTTACGTGATACAAATTGTTGATGATTCGTCCACGATCCCCGAGTCGAACTCGATTTGGCTAAAAATGTATCAGTGTATCAGTGAATGTATCATTTTTATGCAAAATAAAAAACTCCGACTATCCGGCACCAACCTGCTGCACGAGGGCCACCACCGTTAACCACATGGTATTGTAGGTGATAAAGAAACAAATGACACAGCAGATGCCTCTCGTCGTCTCAAAGATAAACGTGTAGCGTCTATAAACAGCATTAGAAACCAACATAATAACCTCTATCAAACTTAACACATTCACGACGAGGTTTTTTTTTACTTGTGTGTAAGTTATTTGCATTCCAGCTCGTCTAAAAACGCTCACAAGCAACCGATTTACTTAAGTTAGGGGGCAAAATGAAGAGAAATATTTGAGGATCATTTATCTGGAAACTGTTTGAAAAAATATTGGCTTTGAAGAGAGTTATGAACCTTTGAATGCACATTAATTCCCGTGACCGGTGACCCGGAAAATTTCTCATGCTAAAACATTCTGAACTTTTTTCAAACTCAATATTTCTTTAAACTGGTTTCAGATAAATGATCTGTGAACATTTCTCTTCATTTTGACTTCCAACTTAAGTGCATCGGTTGCCTGTAAGCATTTTTAGACGAGCTGGAAGGGAAATAACTTAGGCAAAAATCAAAAAACCTCATGGTGAATGTGTTAAAAACATACCAATCGAGAAAGCTGGCTTCAAGTCAAAACTGAAGTCAAAACAAAACTTCAATCTCACATTGTAGGTCAACTCACTGTGTTATCGTGCAATATCGATATAATGTGTGCACGGCTGCAAAGCCAAACCCGGTGACAAATGCCATATTCATTGCTATCATCGCCCAATATGACCATCGTGAACCAACTGAGATGAAGCGAAAGGAAAACATTGTGTACCCATGCTCGTCATTGATGAACACCTAGAAATATAATGGTATTTGTACTTCCTATACCCACTTCACATATCAAATGTAAAAAATAACTTAAATGACAAGTCCCAGCCATCTTTACATCCCGGTCTTGGTCAAGGTACGAAACCGGGCAAACCACAACTTTTATCTACATTCTCGGCAGCGTTTACGTTTACTAATTCTCGGCAACGTTTACCTACCAAAAACTCCCCGATTCGACTTTTACAACTCATTTAACAAGCGCTTGAATGAGCTCTAGGCGGCCAGTGAATCTGTCTCCATTTGGTCTCATTTGGTCGCTTTTCTCTATTAAAAATTGTTAAGAAAAGCTAACATTTCTTCAATGCAAAAATAGCATTTAGCATCACTTAATAACATTAAGAATTTCACTTAACTGTTTTGACTGAAATAGCATAACCAAAATTTCAGTTGATGTCAAGCTCCCACAATGACAGATTCGCCGGAGAGATGTCGACTAGCGATTCAAGCGCTTATTAAATGAGTTGTATAAGTCGAATCGAGGAGTTTTGGGTAGATAAATGTTGCTGAGGATTAGGGCTACAAATCTCTATATAACACTTGACACTTTTAAAATAAATTAGACATTTCCCAGCCACCTTTCTAAAAAGTTGTCGTTATAATTCGCGGTCACCTTGTACACCAACGGTTAGGCCTTGATGTCCTTAAATGGCGGATAGGCCTTCGAGTCTTGAAGTCATTTGGACCTATAGGTCTTCGGGCCTAGAAACCTCCCCAACGGAGTCAATCTCGAAGTCAAACACTACTTTTAATTCACACATATACAACTACGACTAAGCGGGAAAACTACGACTCACTCGTAGACTCTCGTAGGTACTTGTTATTCTTTTGCTCGTCAATTTTCATGTACAGTAACTTTTTATATCATTAACAATTAAATACTATGCACAAAAACCATAAACATTCAATATTTATTAGTTAAGCCAGTTTCTATTCTGTTGTATTTGTTCAGTATGCAGCTTTTCGATTTCAAAAACGATATCAGTTTGATTGTGAGGCACAAGTACTAAAATAGCTTGCCAAGGATTTTCATGCCCTATGTTAAATAAACCCACTGGATCAAAGACCAAATTGCAAAGAGCATAGAAAATGTTGTAGAGGACAATGACAATGAGAAAATTCGAATAGCGACTTCGGAGGCGCTTCTCGGTGAGGATTACGAAGAGAAGAAAGAAATTGAGAATGATTCCGATAGCTGGAATAATCAACGAGGTCATAGTGATTGCTTGCATTTTTCAAGGGCAACAGAATCTTTTTGCTTGAGGACGAAAACCAAGAATTCTTTTTGCTCCGAGTTTTAGTTGAGCTTTTCTGTCATAGGTAAAAGAATAATTCAAGAATAAAAAACGGTGACTCCCTGTGGATTTGACTCAATTACTTCATTTTTGTTTTACTACTTCCGCTTTGGGAACTCGTGTTTCAACTTTTCTCTAGTTTCTAGTTATCAAGTGAACGGGAGATACTTCGTAAGAAAAAGTATGAATGATGAAAATCTAAGAAAAGAGAAAGCCTAATTTTTGTATAATATTTATATAATACAATACCGAGCAAAAGTCTTGCAACATCACTTTTTCAAAAAAATCGATGAATTTTCTATAGAAAATGCCACCCGTTCGTAGGGCCCTTTTGTTTTTAATTAGAATGATACATGTACACTTTATTTACAAAAACAAATTTGAAGTTCAGCGTAAAACAAAAAGTAAATGAAAAAACTAGAAAAAAATACCCTAAAAACTGGGTGCAAAAGTCTTGCAACATTATACAGAAACATTAAAAGTTAATATTCAATCGGCCCACCTTTTGCCAAAATCACTTCATCAAGTCGTTTAGGCATTGAGTCGACTAATTCGTGAAGAATTGCTGGTCGAATTGAGCTCCAAACTTTTCGTATGTAGAACCATAAGTCAACTTTTGTGTGAAAGTCTTTTCCTCGTGTCTTTGTCTTCACGTAAACCCATAAATTCTCAATAGCGTTTAAATCAGGCGACATAGGGGGCACATTGATCAACAAAAGATTATTAAGGGCAAACCATCCAGGGAGATGAGCTTTTCCTCCATTTGGGAAATTCACCGTGCGACCCAGCATGAGCTTGCTCTTGTGAAGCGGCGAATTGTCCTGGTAGAGAAACCATCCAAGAGCCATGTGATCCTGAGCAAATGGAAGTAGACATCCTTCTAGTATTTCCATATACTGGCGAGCATTCATGGTTGACTGGACGAGGACGAGCGGACCTGCCACATTTTTTGCCATCGCCCCTAGAAAAAGACAAATTAATGCATGTATTAGAAATAAGGCTTACCAAAACACATGATGGATCCTCCGCTTGCTCGCATTGTAGGTCGCACATATTTAAGAAGTATTTGCTTTCCAATGGGTCGTCTCATCAAGTGGTTGCCTTTTGGAGAAAAGATATCCACTTTTGTTTCATCGACAAAAATCACGTTAGCCAAATCTTGCTTTTTCCAACTTTGGTACGTCCTGGCAAATAGAAGCGGTTGTTTCCTGTGGCCGGCGGTCATCAAAGGCTTTTGTACAGCCCTCCGTCTATACAGTCCTGCTTGAGTCAATCGTCGAGAAACGGTCCATCGAGAGATATCCTTGTTTGCAACATCCTTGATCAGCCGAGCTCCCTCGGTTGATGTCATGTTCGGATCCTTCTTGGAAGCCCTCACGAGTATTCGATCCTCTTTTGCTGTTGTTCTTTTTGGCCGTCCTTTTTTCTCTCTTCGGTGCATAAGTTCAGTTGTTTTTGCTTTTGAAACAATGCGAGAAATGGTCGATGGATCGCATTTGAAGAGATCGGAGACAACGCCTCGAGAAATTCCTTTTTTTCTTGCTTTCATGATTTTTTTTGCTTTTTCGGGAGTCGTCAAGTAGGTACCTGGCATCTGAAAAAAACAAAAATTAGTGTAAATTAATAAATTTGAAAACAATAAAAATGAGAAACATAGAATGTAGCAAGACTTTTGCACCCAATTTTTAGGGTATTTTTAGTAGTTTTTTCATTTACTTTTTTGTTTTTGTAAATAAAGTGTACATATATCATTCTAATTAAAAACAAAAGGGCCCTACAAACGGGTCGCATTTTCTATAAAAAATTCATCGATTTTTTTGAAAAAGTGATGTTGCAAGACTTTTGCTCGGTATTTTAATTCAGAGAATGTTTTAAATGAAAATATTCAGTCAAGAAAATTGGCAATTCATCTGCTCCCTGAATATCTTGAATTTCGACAGAATTTCAGAAAATCCAATCTGACATAAAAAAGAAAAAAAGATACGGTTAACTTTCCATCAGTCATTAGATCCCTTTGATTGGTTTCATTTCATTAGATTTTCAAAAAAGCCTCATGTTTTTATTATTTTTGTAGAAAGCTTTTTGCTGTCAAACATCTAAAAGTCTTGCATCATATATTAAAATTTCGTTAATTAGAAGATAAATTCGCAATTTAGTTGAGTTTTATATCTTGTTTTATTTGTCGTCCAATAATTATAATGCTTTATTTTTAGAGAATGAAGGTATTCGAATCGCTCAACTGCATTGTTTGCAAGGAACCGTGTAAGTTTCGCTTTTTAATAATGAATTTCAAAATAGTTTGGATTTTAAACGGTATATCAAGTTATTTTGGTTATATTTTCAAAATTCTAGTTGCTCGAGTTGCCAATCAGCCTCGATCTCCACGTCATTTGTGTTGTGGATTAGCCATGTGCCATGAATGTTTCGAGAAAGAGCAGATGTTGGCACAAAACGAGAGAAAACATCAATGTGTACCTTGTTATCCTTCCACTAGTCCCAATTTTGCCTACTTTTTGATTGGTGAATTTTATTATTAGGAATCTTGTTTCAACTAAAAACGAGATCAATTAATCGAATTGTTTTAGACGTTTTGTCACAAGAAAACGCTCTGATGTTAACTCCAATGGGATATGTGCTTGTGAAGGTTGGACTTGTGACTTACAAAGAATAAAGATTCTTTTAGCCTTTCAAAATTCCGGAATGTCCAATTTGTCAGGATGAATGTGAGTTTGATGACTTGCTTTAAAAAATCTTGCTTCAGATTTGGGTGAAATTGAGGCAAAGAAATCGTTTGCTCTTACATGTGGGCATATCATTTGCACGAAATGCTGTTTGAAGACAGGTCAGGAGACTACATATTCAAGTTACTGCGAAATCAAATGTCCAACTTGTAATCGCTTCTCACCTGCTAAGTACACTGATGTCAACAAACAGAAAGATCGATTTCATGGTAGATGAATTCGCTTTACATTCACTAATTTTTCTTTAGGCTTTTTAAATGAGCTGCCCGAAATGACTCGACAAATGGAGGCAATGACGAAAGCGCATGCTTTCATCATTGCCGGCGAGAAACAGCATGCTACGAGAAATGTCAAGGATGAATGTAGCTGCAATGAATGCCACGAAGAGGTATGACTACTTCTTAAATTGATATCTATACAGAGATATTTTAGAATATTATCGACAAGATGTTTTACTGTAGCGCATGTAGCTTTGAAGTAAGCTATTGTTAATATTGGTTAAGCCCTTTTGTATTTATAGATTTGTGCTGTTTGTGCTTACAAAAAACATCGTTTGCATGAAGCCATTCCTCTATTCGAAAAACAGGTATCTTTCGCACCTTGTTATTAGTTTTGTTAGTTTGGAATTGAAAGCCGTACCATAATAATTTCATGTGTTTAGGCTAACCAAATGTTGATGGAACTTCAAGAAGAGTCAAGAAATGTCATCAAAACGTACAAGGATTTGGTTCCTGAACTACACAAGGGACTCCTCGAGGGCATTGACATCTTTGAAACGGTTTTTTTTATCAAATAAAACAGTTTGAAATCCTATTCCTTTAGAAATTGCTTTCAAAAGAAGAAATTCTCAAGGACACATCAACTTTTGCCGATTACCGGAAGAAACACGAGTCATTTGCGTATCTTTTGGCACTTTAAATCAACACATTTTTTGTTTAGAAAAATAAAATCCACATTCGAATCATATGCTGAGGATTACTTACCTTGTTTACGCAAATTCGACACGGGAGTTAACGTGAGTTAATAGGGTTTTAAAAGAATTTAATTCAATTTGTTTAGCAATTGATTCAAACCCTCAACGAGACCGCTGATGTCTAGGAAATCCGAATACAAGATTATATGGAAGACTTCTAATTGATAATTATTTTGATGTATTTTGCGAATAAAGTGCCGAATAAAGCATATTTATTGAGGCTGATTTCCATCTCAACCAAAAATCTCGATTCAGAATGTTCGAATTCCAGCGTAGAGTCAACTATTCTTCCTAAAATCCGAGTTTAGCTGATGGCAATAAGCTTACTGATCGCTATCATTGGAACCCATCAGCTGTCAACTATTTACAAAGGCTCACAATGCAATTAATCGTATCTAAGCATCTCCGAATTTCAGTTCATCACTCCACATTTCGATCCGAGAAGCTAGCCGGGTTTCTGTACAAGAAAGCCATTGCAATCATGGGTCACTCAATTTTCGCGTTGGTCAGCGTGGTCTTCACCAGAAACACAAGTCATTCACGTAAATTTTAACATTTTAAAACAACACGTTTGTTCTTTAGAAAGATCAAGTCCAAATTTGAATCATCCGCTGAGAATTACTTGCCTCATTTGCGCAGATTCGATGCTGAAGTCAAGGTGAGTTGATTGGGGTTTTAAAAGGATTTAAGTTAATTTGTTTAGCAATTTAATCAAACCCTCAACGAGTTTCCCGATGTCAAGAAATCCGATTAGAAACTGGAAAGTAAATTTTTTCACTGCTTTTTTTTACCAAAAATCTTTACTGCTAACTTTACTTGATAATAAAATGTTTAATTGGTTTGGTTTAACATGAAATATTAGTTGATTTTTGTTCTAATTTACACATGAAAATTTGTATGTGAAATTTCAAATTTTGAACTAGGGAGCTGAAAAATTGTGCCTGGGAGTAAAAATGTGAACTGAGTGATCAGTTTTTTCTAAAATTTCACTTTTTAAACCAGTGCGTCGTTTCTCTCGTAAGGCATATCCCCAGTTGGTTTAAAACTAAAAAGTAGTGGTTTAAAGGTCAAGAATTGAAAAAATGCGCGGTAAAAATCGAAGATATGATGGAGATTAGTGCCCCAAACTGAAACGATGCTTTTAAAAGTCACAGAAATTCATTTTCCGGATCAGAGGCTAAATCGACATTCGGCAAAGGTATTTTAGAAAAGTTAAATTCAGTAATTTGGCGTGCCAGCTCTTTTTCTAGACAATTTGCCATATCGCGGGCTGCCATGTATCGCACCGACACCTGAAAATATCATACTTTCCACTTACTTTTACGTATTTGCAAAACAAAACCAAGCTTGAAAGCTTTTAGATTCCCATTTTATCATTTCATTTGTGCATCCCCTTGACGGGGACGCGTTCCAAAACTTCTTCGAGACACTTTCGGAAGGTCTTGGTGTTAATCGTTAGATTAACTAGATTAAGAACTAGTTATTTGATGAAAACCAAAATTACATTAACATTTGACATTTTATTTTTATTGTTGACGATGTTGACATTTTATTAAAGCGTTTATTAGTGAGCATACAATAAAACAAGGATCAAAGATAAAGAAGTTTTGTTGGCACGTTAATTGAAGTGAAGTACAGGTTTTTATCAGCAAGAGGCACCCTTGGAGCATGTGAACTTGCCCATATCTGTGTATTCACCAGCAGCCTGAATTTAGGCTTTTGGAAATGAAAGCTTTCACAAAAAGTTTACCGTCTTGAATTGCCAGGCACCATTGCTTGAGTATTGATATCGTCCATCATTGTCATTGTTGATCTAAAATGTGTCTGAAGTTGATCTGGAGTATCTTACAACAAGAAGAAAAAAGGTAAGAACTTACATAGCCACAATGTGTGTCGTCATTGGCAATCACTGTTGTCATATCTGTGCCCAAGACTTGGCAGTTAACCTTAAAATTAGTCACTTGTTTACTTGTTACTAACTACTAACACTTTACTAACTAACTTACTAACTAGTTAGTAAAGCTTGGTTAGTAAAATTTTTTTACGGCAACCACCTGTTTTTTTATTTTAATATCGCTGATTTTATTATAAAAAAATAAAAATCACCCGGCTAGAGTGATTTGATGGGTTTACAAATTTTTGGAGACACTGCAAGGCTTGGAAAAAACAAGAGCGTCACTCATCAGACACCTCAGCACAGTCTAGATCGATTGAGTTTTAATTGCAGATAAATTGAAAAACAAAATAAAAAGCGCAAAAAACAATAAAAATAAGTTGTTAATCTATAATTCTTCCTCTTGCTCACTTTCATCTTCGCTCAAGTACAGCAGTTTCTCAAATCGGCTTCCTATCTTAGTCAATTTCCAGCGCATCCTCAGCAGAAATGACTGGATCTCCTCCATATTCAGCGCTTCGATTGACGCAATTAGATCTTTTTCCATTCGATTGTGGCTTTCTTTTGTTTCGTAACATAAGTTTTTCTTGGCTTTCGAAAAAACAAGAGTATTTAGAAGACCATAAGCTAGATTAGCTTAATGATCTTTTGCATTATCTAAAAATAAAATCTCCATCTTGAAAAAGGCATCTAGAGATGTTAAAAACCAAAAGTGTAGATCGAAAGTCTAAAGAAAAAAAAGAAAACATAATGCCTGACTTTTGCTTTACTTTCGCACTTACCTTGTAGATGAACTACGCGAGCCTTGCAGCGTTTCCAAAAATTTGTAAACCCATCAAATCACTCTAGCCGGGTGATTTTTATTCTTTTTATAATAAAATCAGCGATATTAAAATAAAAAAAACAGGTCGTTGCCGTAAAAAAAAATTTTATGGTCACCCGGCCGCGATTAATACCCCTTTAAGCACTTAAAATAACTCGTTGTTCGTTGGCTAAAAAATATTTAGAGAAATTACGATAAACCCAAAGGACATAATTATGGAATATTGGTTGTGGTCTAATTAAAATTGTTTGAACATGTTTTCCTATTGTTCTTTTCTGAATATTAATAATTTCTGGTTTTTAGTAATGGGTACCACAAAGGATACGACGTCGGAGAAACGAAATGACATTGTGCGAATGAGACGAATGAGTTTGAGTCAAAGAAAGATTGCCTCATTTGCCTCAAAAAAAAGAAAACATAATGCCTGACATTTGCTTTACTTTCGCAATTACCTTGTAGATGAACTACGCGAGCCTTGCAGCGTCTCCAAAAATTTGTAAACCCATCAAATCACTCAAATCAAATCAGCGATATAAAAATAAAAAAACAGGTGGTTGCTGTAAAAAAATTTTTATGGTCACCCGGCCGCGATTAATACCCCCCTTTAATATCTTCTTGAAAAATGTTGAACCAAAGAACTTACCATCGAAGTGGTCGTGTTACAGCTCTAACCACAGATGTTACAACCCGTCACACCATCAACTCTGAAAATAAGTGGATGCATGAGCTTTGTAATTATCTAGCGTTCTAAAGTTAACCTTATATGAATTTATAATAGTAGAACTCACTCGATGGCTCCTTGAGTGTAGAAACCATTTCCGTTTCCGTTCAACGCGTTCAACTGAGCGAATGTGCACGATTTGCAATCTTAAAAATTTTTCTTACTTTCAAACATCAAGTCGTTTCATTTTTGATGAGCCAAAAACCTATAAGGGTGTTGTTTTTGGAGCTCTAGTCCCTTCCATTCTCGAGATAAAAGTTGCGTAAAGTCGGACAGACGGATAGACACTGCTCTTTTAAATATAGTAGATATAATAACATCGGCCTTGTCAGCTTTATTTTTGTGCTTACTTTTCGGAGCTGTGGTTGCCTTTGTTGTGGCTTTGGTTGTCGTCTAAAACTACATATTATCAAGGGAAGGCCTATCGGACAACCTTCGAACATGTGGGCAGCGGGAGTAGTTCATAGGGTGGCAGCTGCATGGTATACAACCGGATTTGTTCCCAAGATTTTCACCTGAAAAACAGGAATCAATTTCCTTTTCGGTTATTATTCCCAAATTTGTAAAATTGCAATGCTCGAACGGTAATAACAATCATAAACATGTGTAAAATTTGTAAGTTTATAACTTTGATCCTCCAATTCACCCACCACTTTGTTCCCGTTACAGCACGTGTTTCCGGTACATGGCGTTTTCTGACGGTGGACATTTTGGGTTTTCGCTCCGCTAGAAGTTGTATTGGTAATGTTTGACTGGCTTTATTTTTTTTTTGAAAATCTGTCTTAGAAGTTCACTTAAACGCAAAAGAATATGAAACTCACGGGCATGGACAGCTATAGGACGACGATCGACACGTTCTCGTTGGTTAGACGGTTCTGCAAAGACCACAAGTGGCGTAGCACGTTCCAGCGTTAGACTACTCGGTCCAGAGAACTGAAAAGTCGACATAGCTACAAGATATTTAGCGATTAGCTGTTGAGACAATATTAATTTTTGTTAAATTCCTTTTGAAAGCTTATTGCTAGAGCTCTGCTTTCTTTTAGTGCACTCACCAGCTGCTGGACACGGGCATGTATCGAACACTTCTGAAACATTCTTTTTATAGAAAAGAGAAGAAAAAGACATACTTGTTAGGACACATTTCGGCGCCACATAGTTGTCCGTTCTTGACACGTTTCCGCAGAGTTTCTTCCCCGTGTCGCTGTTTGTGTACTGGAAATGAGTGTGACGTTTGAAGGGTTAAAATTGGAGATATTAGTATACAATAAGAACTAAAAGAAGGTAAGAAGAACAAATAAAAATTGACTTGTGTGTAGGGGATTTACAAGCAGGTTGCGGGACAACACACGCACTAGGTGCACATGGAAGAACTCGTGATGCGAAGCCACTGGAACGCTGATTTTCGAAATAAAGAGTAGTTTTCGAAATAGAAAAGTATAGTTGCAAATAAAATGTAAATAAGTTGTAAATACTTGTTCATAATGGAGGTCGAAGGTCGTAAATTAAAATTTTTGGCTTTTCAAAACCGGGAAACAAAATTTTTCCACTTCTTCGTGAGTTTCTGGCCGTTTTAACGACCGAGCATCATCAAACACAATCATTTTTTGAAAATTTTTAGTTTCAAAGCTAAAAACCGCTTAAGAATGTGGTTCTAAGATGACCCGTATCTTAAAAATTTTGATGA